CCGGGTTATCCACGGATCCTGTTACTTGGCCCGAAACCCGATAATTGGCCCGTCCGAGCTCAATATCCTTTAAAAAAGGGCTTGGATTTACCCCAAAACCCACTACCCAGCCCGAAGCCTAGCCCAAAAATCGAAGTCCGGCCCAATAACTTGCCCACATACCCAAAGCTCGCCCAAAGCCCACATACCATATATATAATATACATATCTATATCTATACTACTAATAAAAGTACATTATTTAGAAAAATTTTTGATTGACTACTTTAACCCTAAACACAATATATAAAGACAATACTAGTCTTATTTAATTTAGAACTCATTTCAATAAGACTAGATTGATGTTAAACTTTTAATTAGACAACTTGACTCTGACAATACTAACATTATTAATATAGAATTTATATTAATAAAACTTCATTAATATTACACATTGTAAAGCCTTTCATATTGTTTCTTTTAAAAGATAAAAATGAATTGTTAAAATAATTAAATTTATTATTATTTATTTTTATCTATTTTCATTAATTCATGACAAGTTTCTGAATTTTCAAATGAAATTGCATAAATGCAATAAAGTCTTATTTAATATAAGATTTATTTCAATATAATTTAGATAATATTATTAAACCCTTACTTTTCATTTTCTTCTCTTTTATATTTTAGTTTTAATAAATCTTCTTTAGTTATGTTTATTGGTAATACTAGAAGTCATTTTATTTGTATCGATTATCAATGCTACGAATATGTTCAATATTACATTAAATTACTTATTAAAACTTAATTTTTTAAATTTGCTCAACCAATTTTTATAATTAAATGACCACTATAACTTAAAATAGTTCGATTCCAACAGGCCCAACAAACCCCGCCCAAACAGACCTGCAAAGCCCGCCCAATAGGTGACGGCTGGGCTGCGGGTAGTTTACCCCTACCCGAGCCCAACCCGGCCCGTCACTCACCTAAGTATGGGCTTGGGCCTATACTACCCAAGGCCGGCCCAAAAAAAAATTCACAAGTCAAGCCCGGCCCGACCCATGAATAGCCCTAAGGAGAGCTATGGGAAAGTTCGTCTCAACGGAAAGTCGTTCTACTCGATGGTAAAGCTTTATATCTGCCTAGTCGGTACTATTGTTTATTCGAAGTATCAACAGACATGCAGAACAGTGTTATGTGTCGATTTTAATTTGGAAAATTTACAATTAGAGTTAAATAATAAAAAATAATAAAATAAAAATATAAAAAATATTTTTATCAAAAGAAAAATAAATGTATAGTACAAAAAATTATTTTTCGATATCATAGTTGAATGCCAATAAACATTGGTTACCTGATAGTTGGCTAGTGGGCATAAAAAGAGTTAAACTAGCCGATAGGTAAGGAAAAATGTTATTGAAACCTAATTTAATATATTCGTTGGATTAGAAGTGGGCTCTACTAACATTAAGAATCAAAATTAATCCAACAATTATATTAAATTAGATCCCTGAATAGGTTTTAAAATGAAAAATTTGGAGGTCGGTCCCCTTATATGGACTTATTTAGACTTAAATCCTCCAAGGAAATTTATTTGTTCTAAAGTCTTTTTTTTTTATCAATTTTACCAGACTATCCATTCTCTTTAAAAATGAAGTAAAATTAAAAACTCATAAATTTTAGGAATTTGATTAAAGTGGTGTTTGATAAAACTGAAAAACTGAACATTAAAAATTGAATGCTGAATTTTTTAATTTGTAGACTGTTTAGTATCAACTGAAATTTAAGTATTGAATTTAATCACATTGTTTAACAAATATAAGGAGCTAAAGTTTAACAATTATTATTATTCTAATGTTGTTCTTTTATTTAACTATTTGTCCGCAACTGCCTTATTCCTATCACCACCATCACAATGGTGATGGTAGTAGTGGCGGTGACACAATGGTAGCAGTGGCGGCAACGATGATGGTGATGGCGAAAATACGGTGGTGGTGGTGGTGGTGACACAATAGTAGTAAAGGTGGTGATAATGGTGATGATGGTGGTGACAATGAGAGTGATAGTGGTGGTGGCGGTGACACAGCGATGGTGGTGGTAGTGACACAATAGTAATGATGGTGGCAATGACACAATGGTAGTGGTGACGGCAGCGATGATGATTATGATGACGGTACAATGGTGGTAGTTGTAGTGGTAACAACAATGGTGGCGGTGACAGCGGTATAATGGTGATGGTGGTGGTGATAGTGTTGGTGGTGGTGGCGGTGATGACACAATGGTGGTGAGAGTATATTTGTCAATTTTGAGAAATTGATAAATCTCTTATTGACTAACATTTTCAGCATTAAGTGATAAGTAGGTGATTTGCTACTTAAAATTTTAGCCTCTCTTTAAGAAGCGCTTAAAATATTAAGTAACATGAACTTTAGGTTATCAAACGAGTTTAATTTATTAAATGTTTAAAGTATTCAGTTTTAAACTTTAAGTGGTGTTATTAAACAGCCCCCTAGCATTAACATTTTTTTCTCTCATATACATATACATATATATATATATATAATATCATTTAAATACAAAAAATAGTATCATTCAAAAATAAAAAATAGTAATATTGTATATCAATATTTGAAAAAATAACAATAGAAATATACTCAATAAAAAATAGTAACATTGAATATTGATATTTTAGAAAATAATAATATTTAATATTAACATGAAAAATAAAAAAATGGTAACATTCAAACACAAAAAATAGTACAATTTAAACACAAAAAATAGTACCATTTAAACACAAAAATATAGTAACATTATAAAATAAAAAATAGTAACATTGTATATTAATATTTGAAAAAAAATAATAATAACATATTTAACAAAAAATAATAATATTGAATATTGATATTTTTGGAAAAATAGTAATATTCAATATTAATTGTAACATGCTTATAAAAAAAAAGTAATATATTCAATAAAAAATAGTAAAATGAAAAAAGATAGTAACATGCACAAGCAGAACAAAACAAAAATAGTAACATGAAAAAAAAAATTTGTACTAGTACAACGTCATGTTCTTCACAAAAATACACAACCAACTAAATCGAGATCTAAATCAAAACCTCGTCGATCAACCAACTAAATACACAAACAACCAATTAGAAACAACATCATTGAATGCTCGATCCATTATAAGAAGTGAAAATTGGGATGAAAGTGAGAAGTGGCGAGAGTTTTTAAGAGGTCGAGTGGAAGAATAGTTGCAACTATTACTGCTACTGTAGGAAGAGGAGGAATTAATGCTTTGGTTAAGGTTTCGTTCGGGGGAGTAACTATTGTTGACGGTGGTGGGGAAAGTAGGTGCACGATGGAGGTGAAGATGTATGGACGGAAAGAGCGGTTGGAGCTTCGATGACAATATTTTCGTTCATGGTGGAGAAGAAAAAACTCATAATTATTAGGAAACAATTAGAATAATATGAATCATGAATTTAAATTTTAAATTTGATGGTCAAATTTTATGAGCGTGAATTAATGGTAGAATTAAAAGGTAAAAAATTTGAGTGTTTTCTATTTAGGAAACAAAATTAAGATCTAATACTATTGAAACATTATATGAAAGATATTTTAAAGTTTTTTAAAAAATAGTAGATTTAACTACTTATTATTAAGATAAAAAACAGACTTATCAACGAATAAATTTTTTTGACAGACATAAGTCATTATTAATCTCTTGAGGAAGACTCTGTCACAATTTTCACTTTTAAAATTAGGTCCTTATAACATTGTTGGATAGGTAAATGCAAATTGTACGACATTATGCTTAGTTTTTCTCAAGTAATTAACTATTGTAAGTTCAAATTAGGATTTGCATGTTTTGAATTTGTAGCCAGGGTTTATAATGATCCTTGTTTGCTAAAAAATTTATTTATGAATTTTTGTGAGCTGGTCCACCTGTCTTCAAAATGTCGTATTGCCAATTAACCATGACCCAACTCGGTCCATCTAGGGACACACTCATCATATTCTTCACCGGGCCTCAATGCGGGAAAAGTTAGGAATTCAAAATAAAACTGTATTCAGTTCGTCACCCGTTCACCGGGCCTTATTTTTACTTTTTACTTACCTATTTATAGTGGCTTTGTAACTACTCTTTCAGTGTACTATTTTCTGCAACTCATTTATTAGTTGATTATTGTTAAATGAAAGCATGATTTTAAGCACTTTTTAAACTCCCGCTTTCATATAAACAATGGTATTTTGGTAAATAAAATCCCGTCTTGGGGTCTAAATAATGAGGTAAAAGTTTTTTACCAAACTCCCTCGCGCCAGCAAGATTGACACTAACCTGCAAGTTTGTCCATAAACTTTAGACCCACTGACTTGAGAGAATCTATAAAAAAAAGAACAAAGATTTCAATGAAAATTAGAGAGCCCAGGCAGACTTCCATTTACTTTAAATTAAATGATTCTTGTGTTTTACTCTTTAGCGTATATAGATAGAGATCGTCACATCACTTGAGATAAAAAAATTTAGTATTCATAATATTTATGCTTCCCAAATCTTATTTTATATAGAAAACATTTAGCCAAAAAATAAGTTAATATTAAATAGTTTTTCAAAACCCCCCATTTTTCAGGAATTTTGGAATATAATTTGAACTATTTGAGGAATTCTTTCATGTAAGAAGCACTTTCATACCAATCTGAGACGAGTCTGCCTGAGGACATCTTCCAATACCTCCATGCTATTACCTAAGCCGTATCACCCATTGCCACTGCAAACAGGAAACTTCCTTAAAGCACAATTTTTAAGCATGATAATAAAGTAGATAGAGGAGAAATTTCAATAGCAAGTACCTGATACTCAAAAGGATGGACCTCGGCAAAAGCCAGAATTCCTTATAAATTCCCCTAAAGGCATAAGAAACAATTCTGGCCTTATAGATCCCTATCACAGGAACCCAAAGACCATATTTCCAAACTTGAAACAGAAAAAGCAACACATAAGCGGTTGAAAACAACGACCTTTTATTGATTAACTAACATGAGCAGCAAGCACGGCTTATATCATAGGATGCAGGATTTCAAGCATGAATGGCATCTCAAAAACTCAAGGAAATATAAATTGTTTCAATGTGTACTTTCAGGTGAATGATGTATCCGACTTAAATTTACTAACCCAGACTCAATTGACTCTGGCATCACTGCCTCACATGCCCCAGAGGACACGTCAGAAAAAAGCAATGGACCACACTTGGTATCCAAAAAAATTTGATCCTCACAGTTAATTGCAGCATGATTGCTTCCGGAATCAATAGACTTGATCACATCTCCAATCTTATTATGCGAGTGAGCATCAGATCGTTCCCCTCTGGGATCCACCTCCATTTTCACCATGTTCAAATTAGAAATAGGCTCTTCTGATTTCTCCAGTGTGTCAGCTAAAATTGGTTCATCAAGCTTCGGATAAGCAGTTGCATAAACCACCTCTAGCTTCTGAAGACTAATTGTCTGCTCAGCTTCCCCCTTACTAGAATTTGGAAGTGCTCCCTCAGCCTCTTGCTGATCACAAGCCAGAGCCAACTCCTCTTCTTTACCATCATTTGAACCTGCTGCTCCTCCCTGAACAGATGTAGGAGTACCATTTGCAAAGGATATTTTCTCACCATTTACGGCTCTAGTTTCTTTTCGCTGCCTCTTGTAAAGGGACATGGATTTCTGCGAGCCAATCACAATAATGCAATAAAACAAACGCAATTATGATTACCAAATTATGCAAAATCCTAGTCCATAAACAGTAAAGTATTATCTTTTGCAAGAATAAAAGAAAAATGAAACAAAAAAGTTCCACAACACAGAAATTCTTGGCCTACATAACAATGAACAAAAATGAAATTCCTAATTAGCGACATTTACAAGGGCAACAAACCAGTAATTTTCATGACTCCATATGTTTTTTTTTTTTGTTTTTTGCCTAATGGAGTGGTGAAAAAAGCAATCCAACCCTGGTAAGCAATTAATTTAATCCCTGAAATAGTGTTTTTAAGGAACAAAATATACATAGCACAACTGGATCCTCACATTTCAACTTTGAAGCAGGACCATTGTAAATCCTAAGACCATCAATAAGAATGCACTTCAGCCATGCTTCAAAGCATTAGTTTCAATCAGATAAACTTTGGAACCTCCAAGTGTCTCACACACAACATTGTTGGTTCAAGGTTATGATGCATAATGAATAATCTTTCTGCAAAAAAATTCTTTAACAAGCAAGGGAGGAGGGCAGGAGTCATCCACAGGATTACAAGCACATGTGACACACATAATGATCATTTACAAGCAACAGTAGATCTATTACAGGATGGAACTGTACTGACTCAATTATTTGCGCACCTCAGAATGTATGTACCTGAAATACAGAATCATTTATGGAGGAAAACAGCGAAGTGCTAGAAGTTTTGGTTGGTATCCTTACTTTGGCTTCTATGACCTTCTGCCATTGTAAAGCAAAGAAGAACGTTAGAACTATGTTAAGACAATATGACCAAAACAATCATGAAGATTANTGTAAAGCAAAGAAGAACGTTAGAACTATGTTAAGACAATATGACCAAAACAATCAAGAAGATTATAAGATTAATTTCATTTTTTTTTTTTTGTTTCTTATCAGAGGAGGAAAAAAAAAAAGATGAACTACATATTTGAACAAATAGCCATCTTTACCTGCATATAGAACGTATTAGAATTATCTTCATCAGATACTGTGTTCAGATCCATATTCATTAAGCTTGAACACTGGTTATACAACTCGGGTTGAGTCAGTTCTGTGGAGATGTCAAGCTTGGAGAGATAAACAAGGAAAAGATGGCTATCATCCTTTCTTGACATCTTAGAAATGTCAGGGCTCTCCTCAGAAAGAGTCTTGGGAGCTTCAGGAGTGTTCCTTTCAAGAGCATCAGTGGACTGATCAATGTCAATGCTCTCTGCCAGAAGATTGAGTTGATTTTGTTCATTCTGAGCTTGCTGACCTGACCGGTTAGCCCAAACCTCATCTGCTGGTCCAACAGCTGAAAGATCTTTATTCTGGTAAGCAGAAGGCAACTCCATACTCGCACCACTGTTCTGCCCCTTCCACATGTCTCCGCTTGTTTCCCAACCCCGACTGCTCATTTGGGTTCTACTATGGTCCCAATCTGACCTTCCATAAATATGAGATTCACCACCAAAGACACCATTGTTTGCATCCCATCCGTGCAAGGGAGGAGGGCAGGAGTCATCCACGGGATTCCGCCATCCAAGTGGACGCCCATGGCCAGAAAATCTGTCAGCATCAGGAATATGGTAAGGAACCCCAGTGTGGCTTAATTCCATTGAAGGTCTAATACCAAACATTGGTGGAGCAGGAAACTGCTGCATCACTGGATGAAAACTAACAGGAGGTGGACCATGTTGGAAAGGCATGAAACCATTTGCAACCGGGGAAGGCCAGTTGGGAACATTTTTCCATGCGTTTCCATGAACTCTTCCCAAGTTAGGATCTCCAATTCTCCTATGACGATTGATTGACTTGCCTCTGTTGTCAACCTCGGAAGAACCAAAACCTAATGGACTGTCAACCCCTGTCCTGTACGAGGGAGGAGGATGTAGAAGAGACTTGGAATTGCCATAAAACTGTCCAGTTCTAGAGAAAGGTGAAGAAACTGATAAATTGTCTCCATCCTCATCTCCTGGAAATATCTCCATAGGCAACTCGCGACTTTCTCTGCCTTCTTTACCAGAATAGTCTCGTGTATCCTTGGAACCACCACTCCTCTGCCCTAATTCTTCAACATCAAGATTTCGCCTAACATCAGATCTATCCAAGTGTCGGCGGTCAGCACTCCTCGATGATGGGGATTTATCCACCATCTGTAATGGTGAAGCATGGGCATCCGATTTCAGACGCCTTTCCCCTGACAACTCACCAAAATGACTGTCTTCCTTCTGGATGGGTTTCCCAACTGACCAAGATGATGAAATTTTATCAGTTATTCCAGCAGCAGTAGCATATTCTCTACCAGACGGTACACTATGCCGAGCTCTCTCTTCATAAGCATAATCCCTATACTTAGATTCTTCTTGCTTTGAAAGCCTGGAGCAAAATGAAAGGAAAAAATAAAACAGATAAAATTGAAGTGGAGCTCATCTAAGTTTGACATTGAAGTTCTAATTAAAATAATGAAGGGACTAAAAGTATGTGTTCTTGGACAAGACCATACAATCAGTGAAACATATCTAAGATTATTATGTGAATAAGGTATACACCAAAAATTTTTAAATCAAGTATTGAACTTACACAAGAAACCTATTTCACCAACATGGTTAAACCGTTCATCCGGAGAAGACAAATCCAAACCGAACCTATTTCCTTTTCTGCTTGTTCACATCCTATTCAACAAACACTCCAATAACACAACCATTCAAACTTACAGCCAGGACTCACTCCTCCATATATGATAAACCTTGCCATTGTTTTGTGGTGAATATGCCCATCCAAAAACCAGAACAGGCTCATGCCATAATGTAACTCATTGATAATAATCAGTCCTTAGGTAATAGAACAACCATGTGCACCACCACAGCCACCAAATAAAAAAACATGGATAAAAACACCCTCATGCAGGTATAAGGATTTATTCAGCTATAGAACAGCCTACCTAACATTTTCCTAATATCCATAACCTGAGTATACACTTTAAACGCATGAGATACCTGGCAAAAGGGAGGGGAGCCACATTTCTGTTATGAAACAACATACTTGCTCTTGAACAGAAGAAAAGTTGTGCATTCTCGCTGCTCAAGCAAAATTTAAAACCTTTTCTCACATCTAGTAAATTTGTCTCCCAAGTATTACCCAAAAATTCAACTTGCCAGGGAAATACAAAAATTCCTTCCAAACAAAACTTCCTTTAAAGTTTCTAACCAAATAAATTGACCTCAAGGAGAACTAAAAATACAATTTGCAGCGTTATTTATAGGACAATTTTCAATAATCAGTGAGCATACGGCTTCCCCAAAGTTTTGGATTTTAGACAAACCGCTTCACTGTTATGGTTTCCAAAATTTCTTTTAGCATTATCATAATCACAACAAACTTTCACTTTACCGCTAATGTTGTCAAAACATCTTTTACCATTACTTTCATCACCATATTTCTCGATTACTTTCTCAACTACACCATATTGGTTCCAAATAACAGCTCCTGATCCATTTTCTAGCCTGGCAGTTGTTTGGAGTTCCAAATTGTTTTGGGGGTATCATCTCCCACTGAAACTGGTAGGATAAATAAAATTCCAAACCCAACCCTATGTAAGGACATGGACACAGATGTCACCACCTAGCATAAGATAGTATTTCATGCCTAAAGGAGACGGGAGGAGTACCCAAAACTGTGACACTGCTCGCATATGTTTATACAACCAATTCTGTTAGTTATGGCCGCACCAAGTTGCCTCATTTGAACAATAGAAGTAATAGTTATCAGATCTTTAAACATCAAGGAAAATGAAATACAAATACCTGTAGCCCGCATGAGAACTTGAGCTAGGTGAACTCCTCCGCCTGCTGTAATTTAGACCAACTTCTACATCATTATTCCGTGTGCTAGACCTCCCTCTATCAGTGACCAAGTCTACTTTAGCACTGCTCATTGATCTCTTTTCTGCATCAGAACGAAGCTCTATGGCACTTCGGGATCTCATATCACCATGATCCTCTTTATCATTGGCTCTTCTCCTTCGCTGATCATCTTTGTGCCCGGTGACTCGATCATCATAACTTGGGCTACCATCACGTACACTTGATTTCCTACGATATACATCAGCAGTATTAGTCTCATCCCTTGAATGAAAATCAGATTTATCACTGGTGTGATCTCTTGAGAGGCGTTCATCCCTGAACTTTACATCCCGGAGTCTCTTCTCTATGTCAGCGTCATCTCCTTGCTTGCCATCCCTATGTATACTGTCTCTGTCAACATCTTCTTGACGCTTCTCTTTTTTATGTCTATTTTCTCTGTCGCCATCCTCCCTATACTTACCATCCCTGTGTCTATCATCTTTCTCACCATCGTCACGATATCTATCACCACGGCGCCTCTTATCTCTCTCGTTGTCATCACGATACTTCTTGTCCCTATGTTTGTTATCTATATCACCATCTTCACGATATTTATCATCCAGCAGTCTGTTCTCCTTCTTGCCGCTGTCTTCCCTGTTGCTATCTTCACGATGCTTATCATCCCTGCGCCTGTTGTCTCTCTCACTATCTTCATGATACTTATCGTCCCTGTGTCTATATTCTCTGTCGTCACCTTCCCGATACTTATCTTCCTTATGTCTACTATCCCTCCGATCTTCCCACTGTTTAACATCCCTATGTCGGCTCTCTCTCACACCATCTTCCTGATACTTATCATCCCTTTGTATATGATCTTTGTCATCATCTTTCAGATACTTATCTACATAAGTTCCATCCTTGTACCTTCCATCCTTGGCATGGTCAGCTCTCGAAGATAATCGTTTATCATCACTTCCTTTTAGATCATCCTGATGTTTATCACTAGAGCCATCTCTTCTCTTCTGTATCCTTTTCTCAAGTTCTTTCTCTATCCCTGGATTTCGTACTTCATCTTGTAGAGGCAAGACTGCAAAAACAATAAACCAGAAAAGAAAAATATTGCATAATCAGTGGTATCTTATCAAAAAGGACAAACTAGAAAGCGATAGTGTAAGGTGAATTCCAGCAAAAGAGAGGAGATAAATCCACAAGAGCAACCTATTCTTTACATCAAAAAAGTAGTCCATCAAACCTTTTGAAGCTGAATGTTGTAGACATTCTATGTTACTTTTCATAAGATTGATAGACTCATGAACTCAAATGCATATGGGAAGTAACGGTAGCCCAATACATAAACATGCATCACCTATAAAAGACTATAAAGTGTCTCTCTATAAAAACAAGACACTCCATCCTAATACAGATACAAAAGGAGCTTACAGTTATCATCAGAACTCTCTCTGAACTTCATAAACCACTTTTACTTGGAACTTCCTTACTCTTGGAGCATAGGAACTTCTTCCAGTCATTTAAAAATAAGTTTTTTGTCGTACATCTTATTAAGCTGTCGCCCTCCAAAGATCAAATTTCATGAGAAAAATCATAACTAAATTCTACTTCATTGAACCAGATTCTTCGTAAACAATATTTCAGTGAACTAAAAAACCTCCAAACCTTGTAAATGTAATTTTAGATAACCAAACTCCAATTGAATCGATCAAAAATGTTCAAGAAAACAACCTTAACTAAACACGCTGACCACCTCTGCCAAACAATTGCCAACAAAATATGATGATTCATGATACCATAACCACCTTATAACGTTTGGGTTCAACTCCAAAATTCCCTATCCAAATGAAACCCTAGAGAAGGTACAAAAATGACGGCTGCAATATCTGATTTCCATCCCTTAGCCTTGCATAGTATCCAACATAGGTCCTCATAGGACAGAATTTCCAAGAAGCTACCAGACAATGACAACTTCAACATGGTTCCCTAGATTCTTTAACCTCTCCTTCCTAAACGTATACAACAGAAATTTATCACTTCCCAAACTTTCCTTGTAAACAGCTCATTCAGCATTCATGGCTCTCAAACTAGGCTAGACATAGCATCTATTGTGAATCATCTTCGTATCTCATCCTCCGAATTTGTGATATTTGCCAGACAACTCAAAATTGTCATATGCCAAAGCCCATTATCTAATCAAATTCTTCATAACAGTGGAAAAATGCCAAAAAGTTCCTTCCATTTCCCTTTTAAAACCTTTTTCCCTCAAAGTACACCCTTCACAGAAGCCCTTCCACAATAACTTATAGTAGGTACTGTCCTATGAGCACTCCCCGAGTCTCCATTTGACAGTTGAAGCCAAACACACCAGGTACTTGTAAATGTACTTTGGCAAGTCCAGATGATGCTAATGGCTGTCCATTACTTGTTGAACTAGAACCCCCCCCCAAAAAAAAAAAAAAAAGTTCAAAAGAACCCATCAACTGTTGCCCTTATTTTCGCCAACATGTTTAGGAGTCATTTTGTCCCAATATATATTTGCAACATCATGTTCAAAAAGTTCCTTGATTGTGCAGAGAAGTGTATACTTACAGAATGTTTTCAAAAGTCAAAGTCATTTCAACAAGTCACACTAATACATCTGTCTGCCATTACCGAAAAACAACACAGGAATGGCAGACCAAATAAGACAAAAGCTTCTATCCCTATACCAACAGCAAAGAAGTAACTTACCAGTATTTTCTCTACTACGTTTGCTCTGTCTTTCTTCGCCCAACTCCGCGGAATGCGATCCTTGCTTCTTTGCTACTTTCTCATTCCCAGTAAACACTTCCACATCACGCTTACAGTCCTGAGCCTTCCTCTCCTTCCCCGACCCACGTTCCTTTTCCTTGCCTTCCTTCATATCCTTATTCTGGTCGCCCTCTTTCCGCCCAGAATCTTTTTCACTCTTCCTCTTAGAATCAGATCTAGTACGACTCTTACTCTCCTCTTTCTCCATTGTGGAACCCACATTCTCCTCCTTATCTCCACCACTCTCATGCCTCCTACTGCTCTTACTCTTTGAATCACCTGAAACCTTGGATTCCTTCGACTTAAAACCTTTCTCCAAATCAATTCTCGAACTTTCCCCTTTCAATTCCTTCTCTTTAGCCCCACCCTCGCCTTTCTCATCCCCACCGCCCTTCCACCTATCACCACCGCCACTGCCATCAGCCGCCTTTTCTTTCCTACGCTTTGAGGCCGCATACTCTTCCGAAGCATCACCGTTGACATTCCCGTGACCAGACAGATCTTTACCCTCTCTACCAAGCTTCCGCTTCTCACCGGAAGCGGAACGGCCAGAATCCTTGGAAACTCTAGCCAAATCCTCCTCCTTGCTATTATTCCTTTCCTTCATCTTCACATCCTCCTCCGAGTCCGCGCAATACTTCGACTCCTTCAAACCGTGCTTGCTTTCTTTATCCGATTTGTGCCTTGAACTTCGCGGCATAACTATTATTGAGCACCACCAATATTAAAGAATACAAAACCCAAAACTCCGATTAAAACCCTAGTTTGAACTTTCGGTTATAACTACAAAAAAAATAAAATCACATAGATTCCATCATAACAACATACCACCGGTGAAATACTAATCAGAAACTGACACTACTGTCCGGTTAGGTTACCGAAAACCAGAAGGTTGAACTTGAAGAGACTTTGACTGATCAGATCGATTAACACTAACCGCGAGATCGACAATTATAGATGTACATATATATGGAAATAGGGTGAACCGCCAGATATTGAGAGTTTTTTGAGGAAGAATGTGAAGGAGAATCTAGAAAATTTTATGTCCACAGAGAGAGAGATCGGAGACGAAGGTTTGATATTGTTGTTGTCGCTGCTCTGCAGGGGGAGAGACTAGAATTTGATTCGCATTGGGGTATCGCAGATGATTGGGAATGAAATGACCGGAATGACCTTGACGATGTCTGGTATCTACGGGTGTGTCTTGCCGTCACGCTTGCTGTTTCGTCTGTTTGCTGTGATCGTTTGTGCTATCCATTCAAAAAAAATTAAAAAATTGTTTGTTCTATCTTTTAAGGAAATTGATTTGGTTGGTCTTAGAGCTATATAACGGAATACAAGTTTATGGTAGGCTCCAATTTGATTGGATAGAACGTATTAGGAAAATAGTAGTAGTAATTTCAATTAAGAATAATTTAGGATAAGATATATTAAGATAATTTGATCATATTTAACGGAGGTTGATAGAGATATCCGTTATAAAAATAATATAATTTATCTTAAATAGTATTAGAAATATGGATAGATTTAAATTAACATTGGATAAAATAATAAAAAAAAATATAAACGCATGACCGAAATAAATGGTGATGATAGACTCATATAATTAAACCCAATATGATTGGAATATAAGGTTAGGTTAGGTTTAGTTTAGTTGGATGATTACAAGTTTAAGGTGGGCAATTTTTCTTTTCTTTTTTTTATGTGCAACAATGGATTAACTTACTCCTAAACTAAGTAAGAGGTGACTAACTTTGTCATCGGATAATCTAAAGGTTTCAGGTTCAACATTTTTCATATTTATTAAAGATAAATCGCCTTTGTTTCTCCGGCATACTCGAGCATTATTTATGTTTATATCTATATAATCAAATATATATGAAGTTGACTTTATCTCCTATACATTTTTTTCTTCAAAACCTTCACATTATCAATTTATATTACATATTCAATCATTTAATATTTGACTAATTTATAGTTTAATATAATTTTTATTTCAAAAATTATCAATACAGGATAGTATATATATATTGCAAAAATTTTATAAAATTACGTATTTTAAGAAAATTTTGTCAATATTTGTAAAAAAATAATAGGTAAAAATAAAATTTGAATGGTATAATCAAATAAGTGAGATCAATTTTTGGGAGCTCAAATTTTATGTTCTATAGTGTCTTCAAACACAAGTTATAACTAATCTATATATACTATTTACAAATTTTAACATTTGTGAAAAATATTTAATTTTTTATTCTATCTTNCGTATTAGGAAAATAGTAGTAGTAATTTCAATTAAGAATAATTTAGGATAAGATATATTAAGATAATTTGATCATATTTAACGGAGGTTGATAGAGATATCCGTTATAAAAATAATATAATTTATCTTAATAGTATTAGAAATATGGATATATCTAAATTAACATTGAATCAAATAATAAAAAAAGATATAAACGCATGACCGAAATAAATGGTGATGATAGACTCATATAATTAAACCCAACATGATTGGAATATAAGGTTTAGTTTAATTGGATGATTACAAGTTTAAGGTGGGCAAATTTTCTTTTCTTTTTTTTATGTGCAACAATGGATTAACTTACTCCCAAACTAAGTAAGAGGTGACTAACTCTATCATCGGATAATCTAAAAGTTTCAGGTTCAACACTTTTCATATTTAGTAAAGACAAATCGCCTTTGTTTCTCCGGCATACTCGAGCATTATTTATGTTTATATCTATATAATCAAATATATATGAAGTTGATTTTATCTCTTATACATTTTTTTCTTCAAAACCTTCACATTATCAATTTATATTACATGTTCAATCATTTAATATTTGATTAATTTATAATTTAATATAATTTTTATTTCAAATATTATCAATACAGGATAGTATATATATATTGCGAAAATTTTATAAAATTACGTATTTTGAAAAAATTTTGTCAATATTTGTAAAAAAATAATAGGTAAAAATAAAATTTGAATGGTATAATCAAATAAGTGAGACCAATTTTTGGGAGCTCAAATTTTATGTTCTATCGTGTCTTCAAACACAAGTTATAACTAATCTATATGTACTATTTACAAATTTTAACATCTGTGAAAAATATTTAATTTTTTATTCTATCCTTAATTATTATTATAAAGTCAATTATACTCACGTATGTATTTTCATTCAATTTTTTATTTTCTAAATCTATATGAATTATGAGCTCTGTTAGACTATTTTATTATAATATTTGACTTCTATTTTTTTTTCAAATCATTTATTAATTTACATGCAATCTTTTATATGTATGTTATTATTTTTTATAAAGAATTAAAATATAATATATATTCTATTATTATATATATGTTGTTACCAAATTGAATTCTACAAACCATATAATAAAACACTTAGAAATTTTTATCTCACACATTTTCCCCACCCCCAAAAAAAAAAACCGTCTCATCACCTAATTCATTTACATGATTAATTATTTAATATTTGATTAATTTGTAATTTAACATAATTACTGTCCACACCCGATAATGTACACGTGTTGAAAAAAAAAATTAAAGTTATACATTTTGAAAAAATTTGATGTTATTTTTAATAAAACATTAGATAGAAATTAATTTTAAATGATGTAATCAAATAAATAAAAAATATATATATTATTTAATATAATATGATTAATTTTTTAAAAGATCAAATTTTATATTTTAACGTGCCTTCAGGCACATATTTTATATATATATATATATTTGAGTTTATTATATAAACAAAAGTCCATCCAATCAATCTCTTTGACCAAAAAATATAATAAATCTAGAATATAATTAGATGCATAAATACTCAAAAATGATAATTTTACAATAATCCCCATTATAACCAAAAAAAAAATGTTTAAAGGGCTGGAGAGATACCTAAAATATGGCAAATTAAATATTCAAAAAAGAATAAAATAGATTAATAATTAAAATTAAAAAATAATTATTTAAAATAAATATGTTCACATGTAACACTCGGCATGCGTTGCAAATACCGTGAAAAACTCATGAATGGAAGCCATGGAAGATCCATATTGTTGAATCAGCGTAACTGTGATTTTGTGACTATCCGACTGCACAATATAAGGTCACCATTCTAAGCAAGATTTGCCAATTTTGATCCAACACACGACCCACCCAATCACACCAATCTACTGATTTTTTCCCAGCCACCAAAGTTTTGGGTTGAATCCTAGTGATATAAGCACACCTTCTAATCACGCAATCCCAGTTTAGAACATAGTATTACAACTCCAGGCATCTTCAATACAACTTACGGGAAATCAAGAAATTTCTCAAATGGAGGAAAACAAATCTCTGGTCAAGCATTTCCAGGATGATCGATCTTATGCAGTCCTTCATCTCCCTATCTGTGTTTTAGTCAAATAATTAAACTCCTCAACTGTTGATCATCCCGTCATAATCTCTGAACAATACATCTTTTTCTAGAAAGTGGGCTTGTAACTTTGCCCAAGATGAAATTGAAACCTAAAGAATTGTTGAATGGCTTCCTCACCCACAGGGCTCCATTAAAAGTTAGAGACACCCACCATACTGCCAATTCAGAAACGAAGAAGAAGAAGAAAGTATTAAAAGCAGTATTTACCAAAAAGTATGCAATAAGTACATGCAAATGATAAAATGCAAGAATCAAATTACACGTTAGACTTATTGTATCATGAAGTTTTCATCAACAACACCTGTTAAAACGAGTTTGCTGTCGTTATTGTGGGTATTCTTTTTCCTTTATCTTACCCAAAAAAAATGGGGAGGAAGAAGGGGGGGGGGGGGAAGCAGGAAAAGCCACAAATGGAAAGAGTATAAAGAGATTCCTGATGCAAAAATGAAAAAAGACAGAAAATGACTACCTGAACCCTAAATATATAATAAATCCCTATATTCATAGAGATATATAATATAACTATATTCACCACAATAGTGACATTAAATATTTTTAATTGCAACTTATAAGCATGAACCATGTCCCATTCAGTTTAATTCCTATCCTTTTTTGTTTTATCTCCAGCTATGTTGTTAACAAGTGAAGTAAGATCAGTGAATCACAGGATTGAGGGTGCGGCTCATTATGTTAATGACTATGGAATAGAGGTGACTGAAACAATAAAAAGGTGGCCCTTATACCGTTAGATACTCAAATTCCCACAATAAACTAGTGAGGAGCTGCTACATACCAAAATTGCGTCAATCTCCTCTTGAGACACTGGTGTCCTTTTGGGCTGAAGCGAAGCTTTTCCTCCCACAGTCATGTTGGATGAGGTAGACCTTGAGAAAAAAGATTGAGGAGCATCATTACCCACGTGATGCTGAGATGTGGAACCTGACAAACAATCATCCTATTGGACTTAGGTAGCATAATTTTTATTTTTTAAAAAAAAAACCTAATCAGGAAACGAACTTAANATAAAACACTTAGAAATTTTTATCTCACACATTTTCCCCACCCCCAAAAAAAAAAAAACCGTCTCATCACCTAATTCAATCACATGTTTAATTATTTAATATTTGATTAATTTGTAATTTAACATAATTACTGTCCACACACGATAATGTACACGTGTTGAAAAAAAACANGAGACACTGGTGTCCTTTTGGGCTGAAGCGAAGCTTTTCCTCCCACAGTCATGTTGGATGAGGTAGACCTTGAGAAAAAAGATCGAGGAGCATCATTACCCACGTGATGCTGAGATGTGGAACCTGACAAACAATCATCCTATTGCACTTAGGTAGCATAATTTTTATTTTTTTTAAAAAAAACCTAATCAGGAAACGAACTTAAAATTTTAATATGCGGTAGGATTCATTCTCAAAGAGTATGAAAGCTTGAGCAGTGTTTGAGAAAGATAACCAATCAAATTATCAGTTATATGCACCTGCAAATAGAAAATCACATATTCTCAAAAAAAATTCAGAAGGGTAAAACTATTTTTGTGTTGGGGAAAAAAAAAAGGCTCAAGGGCAAGAGGTAACTCAAAGTGATGGTTCCAGGGGAGTAAATACTGGGTCTAGCGGTAACACCACGTCAACATTGCCATGTGGTATCACCATCTAATAATCTACAAGTCAGCAAGGCAANGGTAACACCACGTCAACATTGCCATGTGGTATCACCATCTAATAATCTACAAGTCAACAAGGTGAACCCCACTTGGTAGTTATTTTCATACATGGGGTGGTCAACAAAAGACATGGAATAGTGGTTAGTGAGATTCACTTGCTTACATGATCACATCCGTTACATTGAATATTTTCTCGTTCCCGTGGATTAAGGAGACGTTCAAAATATCGTTTCGAAACATTGGTAAAAACATGTTAAAACATCTAGAAATAACTTGAAATAAATCAAAAATTTTGATTCAATCACTGAATTTCTTGAAAACGAAAATATTTTGACTACTTTANGAAATAAATCAAAAATTTTGATTCAATCACTGAATTTCTTGAAAACGAAAATATTTCGACCATTTCANGTAAAAACATGTTAAAACATCTAGAAATAACTTGAAATAAATCAAAAATTTTGATTCAATCACTGAATTTCTTGAAAACGAAAATATTTTGACTACTTTAAAACGATATTTTTATCTACAGAAGAATTTCAACAGAAAACAATGATTTACACGTCGAACTATCGTCTAACCTAATTTGCAGCAATTAAGTTCCTTTAATCCTCGTTAATGCACAAGGTACATAATACAATCACGAGAACAGTAGATCATGACAAAATTGCGCGTATCAAAATATAAATTCGATTCTTCATAATGAAATTGCAATAAGATAGTAGATGATTCAATCCTATTTCAAAACCTAACATGCAATGGATTTGGCGATATAGATCATATAATAAGCACATATGCATATATATGGAAAAACGAAAAGACAAACCAGAGGGTTTTGGATGTCTCTGAGGAAATTTGATGCGGGGTATTCTCTTCATCGCCTGCGCTGCACCCATCTCTCTCTCTGTTATCACGTTGATGAATTTGAGTTAAGGAGGCAACGGGGGGGTTTCTCCTCCTCCGATGTTGTACGGATTGACAAGGATTTTCACACCCCCCCCCTGGTCCATAGTGCCGGTCAAGTGGTCAGGCCCAAACCCAAAATTTAACAAAACTACAAGCCCACATCGCTCACCAGTCCATGCGGTGATGTCCATTGCAGTGCATATGCTGCTGCTTTTTTGTTATTAAATATCAAGAATGACCTTGACCAATACATTATGTATATACTCGTTATGACTCGTATTTGAAATCACAATAATATATAAAATTTGATCATTTACAAAATCTACATCAAATAGTAATTCAAAATTAATTTTTATCTATNACCAAGAATGACCTTGACCAATACATTATGTATATACTAGTTATGACTCGTATTTGAAATCATAATAAAATATAAATTTGATCATTTACAAAATCTACATCAAATAGTAATTCAAAATTAATTTTTATCTATTNTACACGTCGAACTATCGTCTAACCTAATTTGCAGCAATTAAGTTCCTTTAATCCTCGTTAATGCACAAGGTACATAATACAATCACGAGAACAGTAGATCATGACAAAATTGCGCGTATCAAAATATAAATTCGATTCTTCATAATGAAATTGCAATAAGATAGTAGATGATTCAATCCTATTTCAAAACCTAACATGCAATGGATTTGGCGATATAGATCATATAATAAGCACATATGCATATATATGGAAAAACGAAAAGACAAACCAGAGGGTTTTGGATGTCTCTGAGGAAATTTGATGCGGGGTATTCTCTTCATCGCCTGCGCTGCACCCATCTCTCTCTCTGTTATCACGTTGATGAATTTGAGTTAAGGAGGCAACGGGGGGGTTTCTCCTCCTCCGATGTTGTACGGATTGACAAGGATTTTCACACCCCCCCCCTGGTCCATAGTGCCGGTCAAGTGGTCAGGCCCAAACCCAAAATTTAACAAAACTACAAGCCCACATCGCTCACCAGTCCATGCGGTGATGTCCATTGCAGTGCATATGCTGCTGCTTTTTTGTTATTAAATATCAAGAATGACCTTGACCAATACATTATGTATATACTCGTTATGACTCGTATTTGAAATCACAATAATATATAAAATTTGATCATTTACAAAATCTACATCAAATAGTAATTCAAAATTAATTTTTATCTATTTTTTTTTAAAATAGCATCAAAATTTTCAATCATTATAATTATAACTGACTGCCTTTATATGAAGAAAAAAAAAAAAAAAGTGGCAAGATACACTCGCACTCCTAGGCAATCACGAAAACTGAATAAATGAGCCAAGTTCATCTTCCGAAAAGCCATTATAAGGACATGAAGTTTTAGGCAGGAGGTAAAAATGGTCAACTCTGCACATTGACCAGTATTCCACCCCTCCCTACGGTGATTCTGTTTTTTCAACAGAAGGCACACGCAAACAAATTAAAAGTGGTAAGAATTCCTTTCCATGAGAATTATCCTATGTTGTTTTTATCGCTAAGGAGACTNACATGAAGTTTTAGGCAGGAGGTAAAAATGGTCAACTCTGCACATTGACCAGTATTTCACCCCTCCGTACGGTGATACTGTTTTTTCAACAGAAGGCACGCAAACAAATTAAAAGTGGTAAGAATTCCTTTCCATGAGAATTATCCTATGTTGTTTTTATCGCTAAGGAGATTATCTGGAAGTCATTACTTGAACATTGGTGTCGAAATTGCAAAATATATAGTCGGGATGCACTACAATTAGTTTCTTGGTCTAAGAAACATGTAAAATTATAAACCAAGAGTTATAGGCCTATTTACGAGCATCATTAGAAATATTNGGAGATTATCTGGAAGTCATTACTTGAACATTGGTGTCGAAATTGCAAAATATATAGTCGGGATGCACTACAATTAGTTTCTTGGTCTAAGAAACATGTAAAATCATAAACCAAGAGTTACAGGCCTATTTACGAGCATCATTAGAAATATTATTATCGCAGGTGTAAGCAATAGAATGTGTGTCCATTCGGAAGTTTTTGAACTATAAATATGATTATTGTCATCGTCCATGTCGAGAAACCTGAACCTACTTATTTCACCATCATTCATCCATAAATTACTAGTATTAATGTACTGTTTGACGAGCTTAAAAGAGATTTGGATATGATCTATTGTAGAATGTTTCCTATCTTCTAATGAAAACATTTAAACCAAAATCTCTCTCTTTAGTCTGTTTAGATTTTTGGTTGTTAACCACTTCGTTATCAGATTGTGAACTTCAGATTAGTGTTGTGTATTTGAGCACCAACGATCCACGATATTTTGTTTAAATTATACGAGTCCCTCAACATGTAACTGGGTTAACCATATATATTTCACACACATTTATGTTTTTGTCTTATTGTTGTTTATTTGTTTGTATAGAGAGCTTGATTGATTATAAAGAAGGTTGGGAGGAGGAAATTCTATGAGAATTTTGATAGCATTGACACCACCAATAATGAGAAATCCAATATAAAAAATTTATGCATGTAAAAGAGGAGGTGCGTTAATGTCATGCATGAGTTTTGACATATGAATTGCCCCATGGAAATATTAATCTATGATGTATCACAAATTGTCCTTTTATGGGTTATTTTATTGGTTGCTTATTTTCTAATTTCTTATTATTCATATTTCACTAGGTGTTGTATATTGATATTACTGCATTGTATTGATTGACAATGAGAGGTGGATAACCTAACGTTTGAATGCCAGGGACAAAGTTTGAGACCAAAATGAAAAATCGAGAGAAGTTCTATGAAATTATTAAACAACATGAAATTCTCAGATTTTAGTCAGAGCTGGAGAAAACGCAAAGTTGTCTTTGATCAATTTGGGGGGGGGCAATTTTCAAGAACTCACTGAGGTGCATGTATATACGGGGCAGAAACTAATCAAGTATTTAACATACTCTTTGTTGTTTGTCTTTGCAAATATAAGTCTAATGTTAGGTTCGAATCTTGGTAGAGGCAAATTTTTGTGAGGTAAATATTGCATAATACTATCAATTTGAAAATTTTAATTTAAAATAATTTACGTGCAATGTACACGTGCTCGAACTAGTTTAAATAAATATGGCCTTAATGGCAAATATTACTTGTGCGGTGTACGATGTACCTATATTTGAATCCATATTGAAAATTGACACTTTAATTGTAGGAGAAATTTACAGTATCGAAATAAACTTTTGTTGGTAATGTATCATCATACAAATTTTATGGGTTGCTTTACAATTTTTGAGGATCATTATATAATTTTTGTGGTAACTTGCAATCATTTCTAAAATTATTAGGATCGATCGCAAGTGGCCAAAAAAATTGTTTAGTCCAAAAAAATTGTAATTCAAACATTTGTTGTAACTTGACCAAAAAAATTATAATTTTTTTTTAAATAAACCACAAAATTTATATCATATTCTACAAAACTTATAAAATTTAGAGGTTCGGTGCAAAATTTTTTTTTTTTTGAGTCTTGTCCTAAATAGTTTAATGATACATGTCGCCATAACGAATATTGCCTTTGTGGTCTATTGATTTTTGAATCAAGGTGTCATTTTTTGTGAATAGAGAAATTGGTATATGCTTATGTATGAACCACCGTCGTTGCCACCACCACTTCTGCAACCACCACCCCCACCGCCACCCTCCACCACCACCACCACTGTCGCTGTTACCATAGTTGTTGTTGTTGTTGCTGTCACCACTATCGTCACCGTCGTCACTGCCACTGCCACCACGATCATTGTCACCCACCATAATCATCACCGTTTTCTACCATTACCACTTTCATCCACCACCTCTCACTCCCACTATAACCGATATTTAAATTCATTTATTTTTCCTCTACGTTTGTGATTTGATTTTAGATATGAAAACAAATATATTTATTGTTTACCATTTATTATTACTATGTGCATTCAGACATATGTAATTACTAGTCTATATAATAAAGTATCTTACAATTCAAATTTTTAAAAATAAACAAAATGACTTTTATTTTTCGCAGTTCAAATCGCTTTAAATTTTACTTTAAAATTAATCTAACGGCTAATATTAACACCTTAAATTTAATAGAAAAAATAGGGCTTTGAAAATGTGTTTGAAGTGATTTTTAAAAATACTTTTAAGAATTATATCTCATAAGTACTTTAAAAAAATGATATTTAAAATCGCCCTAACACTACATCTATTACAACCACCATCGCCGCCATCACAACCATTACAATCACCATCACCACCATCACCATCGTTGTCGTCGCCACCACCACCACCTCTACCACCATAACCATCGTTGTTGTTGCCACTACCCCGGCTGCCACCACCACCACCATCATCACCGTTGCTGTCACCGCCACAGTTGCCACTCCCACTACCGTAACTGCCACCCCCACCACCCTCACCAAGGCCACCATCACCATCGCCACCACCGTCACCCTCATTGCCACCACCACAACTATCATCGTCTCCTACCACCATCACTGTTGTCCACAATTGTTATCCACCACTTCTCACCTCACTACAAATCGATACTTAAATTTTTTTATATGTTCTTTATGTTTGTGATTTAATTTTAGATATTAATACAAATATATTTATGATTTATCATTTTTTATTACTCCGTACCTTCAGACACAGATAATAACTAGTTCTCTATAAGATAGTCTTTTTGCTTGTGTGAGTAAGTTACGTACATCTATTCAGACTCAATAACGAAAGTTTTATGCATTGGATTTTTAGCCGTGTTGCTTGTTTCCTAAATAAATTTGCGGTTTCTAAACAGTAAAAAAATTGTATTTGTCCTGAAAGCACGAAATCCATCGTAGGTCTAATGTAGCACTAGTTGATGGTATGTTTCTGGTTATGGACAGCCTTTCATAATGGGGTGGGCCTCTATAACAACAACAATAAAATCTTGGGCTCTCCAATATTTCCTATAAGGCTTTCAACAAAACTACCCGACCTCACAGAGATAGCTAGTAAAGTTATTTTATATCGATACTTGGCAACGATTCCTTGTCACCAAAATAGAAAATAACAGTGGAATTTTAAGCATAGGTTTTATGGGTTTCAAAATTGAGATTAGACATTGGTGATCCATTGAAAATGAATGAGAAAATATCTTATCCATTGAAATTCAAAATTTTACACGTGTCATTCATTTAGCACTGCATTGAGGGAAATTGAAGAGAATGGGTAATGAAGGGGATCTGAATCTGTTTCTGCCGAAATTTGATACGAGATTTTCTCTTCATCGTCTGCGCCGCACCCACATATATTGCAATGTAATCACGTTGATGAATTTGAGTGATAATCAAGTTAATCTTTGTGAGTTTAAGTCCGATCTAGATAAATTTAACGAATTTAAAAAATTCTTCAACCTCATCTCATTTAAAGCAAGAGTTGAGGTCAAATCGAATTTTATTTGAGCTGACACCGAATATTTCGTTTTGCTTAAAACCTCTATTTGAGTTAAGTTAAGGAGGTTAGGGGGTTCTCCTCCTCCGATGGTGTATGAATTGACAAGGATTTTCATCCCGTGGTCCATAGTGCCGGTCAAGTGGTCAGGCCGGAACCCAAAATTTAACAAAACTACAAGTCCACGTCGCTTACCAGTCCATACAGTAATATACATTGCAGTCAAGTGCATCTGCGGCTGCTTTTTTGTTTTTAAATGTAAAGAATGACCCTGACCAATATATATAAACAATCACATTTGAACATTGATGTATCCTGACCAAAAAAAAAATTGATGCATACTCCTTAATAGTTTTCACATTTATCACTTGAATAAGACGTCCGGTGGATCAACTAAGGAGTCTGGTACCTTGAGATATTAAATTTAGTTTGGTTTTTTAGTCATTAGTTGAACATTTTCATTTTGGTGGCTAATTCAAAACCTAAATAATAGAATTTGCACAAGTTGTGTATATAACCAAAAGATTTGGTTCAAAAGCAAAGTTGTCTATGTCACTTGTTGCCGAAAACATAAAATCGTATAAATTCCAATAGAAAAACAAAAATTTTATATGAAAAATAGGTTGGAGTTTTGCATATCTAATAGTTTATTAGAGGTATTATTTCTTATAACCAGTAAAATTATTTCATAACTACCCATTTTCATAAGCTTCTAAATTCTTGATTATAAAGGAAAATTTTGACCCGCAAAGTCATCCGTAAAAACCGCATGCGGTATTGTGAATGGAAAGCGCTCCGGTCATGGCACAAGTTACCGAAACTTTTCCACGAGTTTTTCCAAATTGAATTATTGACTAGTTGCCTTAGATATGTTAATAAAATGGTGTGCAGTGGGGTCTCATTTTTGCTACCTCCATAAAGGTCGGTTTCTGCAAGTTAACATCACTGCAAATGTAAGCACTGGCAAGCCTTGGTGCGTGTAGGGTGTCACACTTGAATGGAAAATATTTTTTGAATTTAATTATTTATTTTTGTTATTGAATTAAAAATAAGTTTTGTCTAATAATTATTTCAATGAATTAAATCCTCAAATTAACTTTGTATAACATTGTTTCACCGAGAAAACATTTGGAATGACATGGTCAATGAAGGCATCTAGGTCATGTCAACCATTTTCTTAGAAAGAAATATTGGAGTTTCCTATGATACACGTTTTCACATCATCTTCCTTTATTTAATACCTAATATAAAACTAACGTATTGTTGATCAAGTGAATAAAAATTCTAATTTTTTCGCTTAATGTTTGGATTCCAGTGTCTATAGCCATAACAACTCGTTGGGACTAAATCAAAGCTTTAGTGCTCAGAGCATGTAGTAAGATTTTAGCTTCGGTCNCGTTGGGACTAAATCAAAGTTTTAGTGCTCAGAGCATGTAGTAAGATTTTAACTTCGGCCCGACATAGATGTGATGAAATTTTCTATAGATAGTTGTGTGGTGTTAAGGGATAATGTTCCGTGACGAATATATGAAATAACCTATCTACATATCTATTTTATTGATCAGAAAATACCTGATATGAACATAAAAGTAGCATTGTTGTCTTTTGTTTTGACTGATTAATTGACGGTGGTGAGAACACAGGGTCCAGCTGCAATTCGCAACCTAGCTAAAAACACGTCTTTCAGAATTCAATCTTTCTTACTACGAGCCAGAGGTACCGACATTTACCACGTTATCACGTTAGGCTCAACCTGTTTGTTTGTATACGATGACAACGCGATACTATGAAAAGTTTTTCACTGGTCATGTCCGTTACAGCATAAGCCATACGATTGGGTTTTAAGTCCTACAGATGCAATTGCCTGATTTTGTTGGTAAAAAGATTGTAATAGTCCCTTAAATATGTTTTTTTTGTCATTTGTTGCCATTAATTTTTTCACTTTAGTCTTTGAAGTTTTTAGTTTGTATCATTTAGATTCAATTGAAAACGATAGTTTAAATAACCTTAAAAAATTGCGAATCTTTGCAATTTTTTGAGACCAGATAGTTTAGGGTTATTTCTCATGAATATCATAATTCTGACGTGAAAGGTCACTATATCGAGAAGGAAATTAGTTGAGATGCGCTTAAACTGATCCGAACACCCCTAACAATGAAAATACTGAAGTTAGGAAGAGAGTAATCTTGGATGCAAGAGCAACCTTGCCGACGGCCTAGATCATGGCGTGTCCAACAAAATCGACACAAATTAAAACCTTGAGAAATCAAACTGAACTCTTAAGTGAAGTCGTGAAAAATGCATGGAAAAATAAAACACTCCCAATAGTCAATTTAAATTGTTATTTTGGACAAAAATGACAAAAGAATGAAAACTTGAGGTACTAAAGTAATAGAGAGAAAATAAAATACTAAATCAATAGGACACTCATACTTGAAAAAATGTACATGTGCTATTCAAAATAAAAAGAAAAACAAATAATAATATATGTGTGTAAAGCATTGCCTGGCTCTTTTCTTTGTGAATATCTAACTATTGAACAATATAACGCCGGACTAAGAAAAAGAAGAGTGTTATTCATTGTTCAACACGGTCTTGACATATGACTTGTTGCAATCTTAAGGAATATCTTATTCAAACGAAGAAAGTTGATTACAGAGGACTTGATATTTGGAATCAGTGTTTGGTCTTTTACCAAATTCACAAACAAAGAAAGCTACTTTAATAAATAAATAAATAAAAGCTTGGGTCTGCAGCAACTTAATAATATAATGCCACCATTTGATACTTCTAAGCTTCTAGACGTATAGGATGATTACGTTAGCAATGGACTCGGACAATTTACGAGATTTATATACTCACTAAATCTTAGCTTTTTTTCCCACCTTCATTGCTATTTTATTTGTTTAGTGGTAGTAGAAATAAGAGAATAGAAATATGAGAATTTAAAAGAGTGGGAATAGAAGGAAAAAAAAATTAGAAAAAAAATTAATAAAAGTGTCAAAAATATGTGAATTGAACTTTTGTGAAGAGAAAGTTTTCAAGTCCTCTGTCACACCGTTTGATTCTTTTAAATAATAACATAGACGGATACAACTTACTGTTTCTCAAGAGAGTATTGCCAAAATGACAAAAAATATGGATTAAATAATGGTCACTTTTTGGTAGGGGTATTCGAGTTAATTTATATATATTTACATTAATTTTTTTTTCGATCAGTCAAAAATAGGTTATTTACGTCAGAATTAGACCTGATCTTAAGTGACTACCAAAATTCGAACTCAGGACGTCTGAATTTATAATTTGTCTTATTACCACTTGAGTTACACTTGAATTTGATCGGCCAGCATTCCTTGACTTGAAATGTACCATTTATGATGTATATGATACCGCTCAAACTTCTTGCTTATAATTGGAGGTTCAAGTTTTAGAGTCTATATTGAGGTTTAGTGGATGATCACTATGCTAGCTTAGTTAGGTTCATTTTTGAGAGGAGTAACAGACGCGATCAAGAATCTCATGATCCCACAAATGAAGACCTATCAAGGCAGCCTCCTTTGTCCTCGTCTTTTTTTTTTAACTCTAGCAAAAAAACAAGACTTAAATGTATCTAACATATATAAGTTGTTTAATGCTAGTTATTATAATTCTTCCATTGATATGATTGGTCTGTCATGCGCTTATACATAAAGAGAGTAAGTATTGATTTCTAAGTGTCTGGCTTAATAGCACCCTCACCTAGATGAGCCTACTAATTAAATTGAAACGAAACAGCTTAGCTCAGTGTTGTTTATAACTCGTGAAAATGAATTCCTCAGTAGGACTTTGCTGCTTCTCCTTCTTCCTCCCCTTCATCTTCTTCGCATACAGCGCTCTCTGTGTTGAAATTTGCAATCCTTCTTCATGCGGTAGAACCGGACCTCCGGTCCGGTTTCCTTTCCGGCTAAAAGACCGGCAAGCCGACCGTTGCGGTTATCGAGGATTCGACCTTTCATGCAACAACCAGGGCCAAACAGTCCTAACCCTGCCTTCCTCCGGCGAATTCATCGTAACGTCTATTGATTATGTTTCCCAAGCAATATATATTGACCCGGACTTTTGCTTTCCAGAAAAGATTCTAAACTTCAGTCTTTCTGGTTCTCATTTCCGTGGAGCTAATTTCAGGAACTACACGTTCCTCAATTGCTCATCGGACTGGTCCAGGTACCCGATGTATCACTTCCTGCCGTTGCTTTGCCAGGACGGTGGCAATTACACGGTTGTCGCTACGATCTCCGAGTGGCTTTCGGTCGATGAAATGCCATCGGAGTGTCGGATTATATCGACGGTTGAAGTTCCGGCGCAGTCGGCAGCTACTCAGTACTGGTCTTCGCTGGTACTTTATGAGGACCTTCAGTTGATATGGGTTGCACCTAGATGCAATAGTTGTGAAGCCAGGGGTGGGATTTGTGGGTACAAGAGTGACACTGGATTGGAAACTGGTTGCTCCAGACCTACTAGTAAACAAGGTATGTTTTTTGTTAGCTTGAGCATTAATTGGGGGAATCTGTTTATTGCTATGTAGACTTCCGCTGTTTGATTCATCCCTTCATAAAGAATAAGCTTAGACTTATAAATCTAAACAATTCACACCTCAAGACCCACATCAAAAACTGGGAAATGTTTTCACGGCACCAATTATAGGAATAGAACTAACTCTTGACATGGAAATACCTCAATTGGAAGTTCAAAATAGTTCAAATTTAGTAATTAACCAAATGAATTCCACCTACAAAGTTAAAAAATCAAATATCTTACCTTATCATACAACAACGGGTGCGTTAGAGAGAGTGTGCGTTAGGAAGAGTTAATTATATAACTTGAAACTTATTTATTTAAATGTAGTAGGTCTAAAATAATGTATTCTATGTTAGGAGCTAAAATCATAGTGTATTTCTTTACATTTTAGCAGTAGGATATAGAGGCTCAATATTAGAGTTCGAACGACGACCGTCTAGCCTCATAATCCCTCTCTTCCCCTCCTCTTTAATAGAACTTTAAAGTTTTAATAGAATCGAAGTTTTTCCATGTTGGTTGACACATATGATTATCGAGTTTAGGATAAGTCATCCGTTAGTTTGACATAAATTTTATGAAACTAACTTCACAATGTCAAGGAATTCGTAACCTTTTCTTTTTTTTTTTTGTCAATTTTACTAATTAAATTCTTCTATTCTCCAAAAAGACTAATGGATCGTGTTTATCTTGTGCTGTTGTTTTAATGGATACGTCCTTAAGTGTAATTAAAACATATGTATAGCCTAGAAATTTGCATTGGTACAAGATTGAATGTCAATGATTTAAAAATCTTAAATTGTTGAGGGAATCAAAGAGGAGATTAATCAAAGTGTACATAAGGAGATTCGAACATTCTTAATCCTTAAATCAAATTTTTTTTTTTATCTAACATTGTTGATTTTTAGGTAAAGTGTTATGGCCTGAACTGGATCAGGAAATGTGTAAAACAGAGTGGTTCAAAGACCTGAACAGAATATTGGAATTAGTCAAAGACTGTACGTGGCATTGACTATAATAAGCTTGGTTCGCTTACGTGCCATGGTTTTGACTCTCTTTTCTTTAGTGACAACCGACCGTCGACTATTAACTCGTAAACAGATATTTTCTTGACCTATAGATGTAGACAATCAGAATTCGCGGTCCTATAATAGCAATAGAGATAACTATAGAATTTACGTATCATGGTTTTGGCTCTCTTTTTTTTAGTGACAACTGACCATCGACTATTAACTCGCAACCAGATATCTCCTTGACCTATAGATGTAGACAATCAGAATTTACGGTCCTATAATAGCAATAGAGATAACTATAGAATCTATGAGGTTTCCCTGATTATAATAATACTATTTAAATTTAAAAATTTAATATAATGATATGACAATATCATAGTTTACCAGTCTTATTGTAGCTCTAATGATTAGAGATTTTATGAGTTGACACGTTATTAGATCAGATTTTTTCGTCTCAGGAACATTGCTCCTCTAATTATGACTGGTATAGGGCTACAAGTGAGAAAAAAAAAAAAACTCTACAGTGGCCGATGGTCCGATCCCATATGACAATTGATTGGACTTAAAAAATTGATTTAATTTATTAATTTAATGATGTATCTTTATTATAACTATTGGATTAATATCAAATTTTAATATTTAATAGAATATGACTCACATTCAATCTAATGGTTATGTATTGAAATTGGTAGAGGATGAAAATGGTTTTTGGGGTCACTTCAACTAGATTTAATCCCTGCATTTGGAGAAGAGGTTTTATGTGTTAGTCCAAGTTGACTACTGGCTGCGAGTGGGCTCGGTTGGAGCCTAGTCTACTAAATATTATTACTTTTTATACTCTTTTGATCTATACTAGGTTTTTGCATTTATAGGTCTTCCAAGGAGTGCTAAATATGGAATAATCATCGGCATCGGAATACCCGGAATTGTATGTCTCATTGGACTTGTATGCTACATCTGCAATAGGATCAGGGGCTATGAGGATCGTCGTTACATGAACACCGAACTCTCTGCCATCACAATACCTCCACAACGAGTGCTCTTTGCGACAGGACTTGACGGGCCTACCATTGCTTCTTTTCCAAAGACCGTGCTTGGGGAGAGTCGCCGATTACCCAACTCCAGTGACAGTACTTGCCCAATATGCTTGTCTGAGTACCAGCCTAAAGACGCCTTGAGAACTATACCAGATTGCAATCACTACTTTCATGCTAAGTGCATAGATGAGTGGCTCAAGCTCAATGCCACATGCCCTTTATGTCGCAATTCGCCTGACGGTTCATCACTAGCCACATCTCGCTCGTCGACGTCGTCGACTTTCTCATCGCCATCATCTTCCTAGATCATCATTATCGTTCGAATTTTGTCAATAGCATCATCTGTCTATGAGTGTGATATANGCTCAAGCTCAATGCCACATGCCCTTTATGTCGCAATTCGCCTGACGGTTCATCACTAGCCACATCTCGCTCGTCGATGTCGTCGACTTTCTCATCGCCATCATCTTCCTAGATCATCATTATCGTTCGAAATTTGTCAATAGCATCATCTGTCTATGAGTGTGATATATTTAAATTGAGACATGACTTTACGATCTATATTGTGACCAAGGCCTAAGTGAAATTGATGGTCCCTTAGATTTTGTTAAGAGGTTAAAGCTTTGGGAACAAGTACAGAGGGAGGAAGCAAAAACAGAACAAAACGCAAATGAGAAGCCAATATATATTAAATAATACAGAAAGAATAATCGAGAGCTATCTAATAATAAGTTTGAGTTTGTTCTTTCTTCGAATATAAATTATTTGATGACAAAATTTAAATCATTTATAAATTTATATCTATACTGTAAGAGGCAAAATATAAAATGATCTCTTGCTGGAATAAGATTCAATATTTTTAGATAAAGAATGTTTCTGAATTGATATTTCAGTCTTTTCTTCTAGCAAAAGGAGTAAACTGTCCAAAATCGAAGTATNATATCTATACTGTAAGAGGCAAAATATAAAATGATCTCTTGCTGGAATAAGATTCAGTATTTTTTGATAAAGAATATTTTTGAACTTGATATTTCAGTCTTTTCTTCTTGCAAAAGGAGTAAACTGTCCAAAATCGAAGTGTTTTGATCGAAAGCATTCCGATACTTAAATCAGTAATGAAATTGATTCAATTGTCAATGGACTAGGAGAGTTCAATGTACCTTTCACCTTGACTCATTGTGCCTTTTATAGATCTCTGTTCAATTAGGATTTCCATGATTTCCGATTCAAGGTGGTACACCTTCCTCCAATCAGGAGCTCTAATTGGGAAGTTGCTGATATCTTTTTAGCAATTCCTCTTGCCGGACCTATAATTTCATCAATTCGTTTAGCCAAAATATTTGAATTAAACANATTCAATTGTCAATGGACTAGGAGAGTTCAATGTACCTTTCACCTTGACTCATTGTTCCTTTTATAGATCTCTGTTCAGTTAGGGTTTCCATGATTTTCGATTCAAGGTGGTACACCTTTCTCCAATCAGGAGCTCTAGTTGGGAAGTTGTTGATATCTTTTTAGCAATTCCTCTTGCCGGACCTATAATTTCATCAATTCGTTTAGCCAAAATATTTGAATTAAACACACCTTCTTAGCTCTTCATTTATTATCTGAACCAGCTCAGTCATGATGAGAACCGAGCACTTTCCTTTCTCATAGAACTCACCAAATAGCTCAGTTTTGAACTATTTGACTAAGTGACTGATGTCTTCGTCACGTGTCTTGTCTTGTTAATCATGTGAGCTCATTTAATGTCATAACACGTATAATAAAGTGAGCCNGCTCAGTCATGATGAGAACCGAGCACTTTCCTTTCTCATAGAACTCACCAAATAGCTCAATTTTGAACTATTTGACTAAGTGACTAATGTCTTCGTCACGTGTCTTGTCTTGTTAATCATGTGAGCTCATTTAATGTCATAACACGTATAATAAAGTGAGCCACCCTCTTTATATACTATATATAAAATAATCAAATTAAGGTGGGAGGTGGTTTCATAAACTTTCCCTCCTATTTTTATTTTTTCTTAGAATTTTTAATTAATTGATTATCACATATAGTTTTAATCAATTATTTATACTAGAAAAACTTTTAATTTTCTATATTATTCCTACTTAAATTTTTATACCCAATCATACTCTATTATCTTATCTTATTTGATTTAAATAACGACAATTTAATATATCAATCGTATATATTTCATGATAAATAATACGCCATTACAAATCAAAGTCNAATTATTTATACTAGAAAAACTTTTAATTTTCTATATTATTCCTACTTAAATTTTTATACCCAATCATACTCTATTATCTTATCTTATTTAATTTAAATAACGACAATTTAATATATCAATCGTATATATTTCATGATAAATAATAAGCCATTACAAATCAAAGCCNTTTATACCCAATCATACTCTATTATCTTATCTTATTTAATTTAAATAACGACAATTTAATATATCAATCGTATATATTTCATGATAAATAATACGCCATTACAAATCAAAGCCATGAAAATTAAAAGAGCTTACTGTAAATGAAGGGGTACAAAAAGTTGTAAAATTCAAATGATTAATGAATTGTAATGGGCCTATGTGCTAAGTATAAATTGTATCTCATCCTCAATCCGTAACCGTCACCCCCCAGTNTTGTAAAATTCAAATGATTAATGAATTGTAATGGGCCTATGTGCTAAGTATAAATTCTATCTCATCCTCAATCCTCAATCCGTAACCGTCACCCCCCATTTACACAAATTACGAGCAGTTCAATTTAACAACAAAATTTTCAAACCCTCCCTATATCCAACTTAGGTCTTGAGCGCTTCAAACTCTCCCTATATCTATTTCGTCTGTGTTCACTGTAAGCTCTCTTTAAATTTTTTTACATTTATTTTCTATTGAAGTATTGAAATCGCTCTCTCCATTGTTTGGAGAGGACGCACGAAATGGGGCATAGACGTAGTATCACCACAAGGGCGAAACTTCTCTATCAGCAACGATTCAGTCCATCGTTTGCTTACATTCACCACGGCGATGATCGGAAACATAACTCTGTGTCCGAAGATCAGAAATTTCCCAGTATCATTCAACATCGATCATTTGGAAACAGCATTTACACTTCGTCCGGTTTAGGCGCTCTATTTCAAGCTAAAAATTGTTCTCAATTGTTCGTTCCGATGAATAGCGGAATGCTTTTGAGTAGGAATATGTCGACCACGGTTGGTGAAGGAGCGGACAAGATTGATTACATGACTGATGTTGCGGAAGTGCTTGCGGATAGAACTATTGAAGCTGTGGCTTCTCAAGCTCCGGCCGTTAGCGAAGTGGCCATTGCGGCTGCGGATTCGTATTTTCCGGTTGCGGCCTTGCACTACGTGATTGATTATCTCCATACTTTTACCGGTTTTAATTGGTAAGACTGCTGTCTTTCAAACACACACACCAAAATTTTGTTGAAAGACATACAATATAATTATTCGACATACGATATAATTGGGCATTTTTTTCATTTTTTTTCTTCTTTTATTTAGGCTCAAATTATTTATAATTGGAAGATAGCCTTTTGATTTGTGCCCAGGACAACCATAATGTTTGTTGTAATATTATTAAGAGGAAAACTATATGAAGGCCATTCAAGCCAGCCGGTCCACCTCCCCTTTGTTATGTTTTTTGACTTGTCCCTTTGGTCGGCAACATAATCATAGCATTGAATGGCTGCCTTGCTTGATCGTTCGAATCTACAATGAGTGAACCTGCTGATTTAATGGACTCAGGTGTTGATTCTAGAAGCATAAAGAAATCTCGGGTTAGGGCCCTTATATATATTTATAGAAGGATTAGTTATTAGTAGTATCCATTGTTTCTGAGCAGAAGGTATTTGAACCTTGGAGGATTGGTCAAACTGCAAGTTTTTGGATTCAAGAAAATCAGTTGAAGTAATGAAAGATGGTTCTATGCAAGTGGCATGCTGATGAATTATCTGCGTACATGGTATTTTGTTGCTAGAGATTGTGAGCTATTTTGTTATTGTTGGGCTTTGTTTTGGAATTGCCTTATTTGATGAAGGAGGTTTGAGCTGATAGGGTATCTAGATTAGTGGAAAAAATGATATGAATTTTCAGAATGGCGCCCTTGTTGTCCTTCAATATGTTGGGGAAGAGCCATTTAAAAGTATTTCTTGGAGCAAAGGTTTTAGCATCCCTCAGCTCAAAAACACATTTCTTACATTCCCCTTCTTTTGGCATTCCCTATTTTTACTTATAGAGACCTTTCTTTTTGCTGTTCATTGACCATGCTTCTTGAAGTTCATCGTAGGTTTGTTATTTATAGGCATTGTAGTATATCCATACACCTTGCATCAAATGTTTGTCTTGTTATCTAGANCAAAAACACATTTCTTACATTCCCCTTCTTTTGGCATTCCCTATTTTTACTTATAGGGACCTTTCTTTTTGCTGTTCATTGACCATGCTTCTTGAAGTTCATTGTAGGTTTGTTATTTATAGGCATTGTAGTATATCCATACACCTTGCATCAAATGTTTGTCTTGTTATCTAAAGAGTTTACAAAAAAGAGACAGAAAAACTAGACATCCTCGGCAATCAATTTTTGTGGAGAAGTTTCAACACTCAACGGTATAATTACATGTCAAAAACCATCTATCTTAGGATTTTGTGATTTTTATGAAGATTTGGTTTTATTTCCTCAACGCTCAATGTAAGCACTGGGGAAGAGATGTATAGGTTTACATAATGTTCTGAAACGTTGATTTACAATGAACATCACTAGCACGCCTGTGTCATTTTCCTATTAAACCAAAGGAAACTGAGTTGGAGATGATGTCCCGTTATAGATTGGTTTTTACTTAAAAGTGCTTTATAAATGACGTATTCAGTTTTAAAATCTGATGCATCTGGAAGAAACAAACAGATTGAATAGTTAATTTTAGTTATTCACAAATTGCAGAGGATTTATGATTTCAGGAAGGGTTTTAAAATTCTAATTTGCAGGTGGGCATCCATAGTTGTCACAACTCTTTTGATTAGAGGGCTATCAGTTCCACTTATGATAAGCCAGCTCAAAGCTACTTCAAAATTGACTGTAAGTTTTGATACCCTTTCTTGGTCTTTACATTATTTATGTTGGTGTAATCTTCCTTTTATGTTAAAGAATTTGAACTACAACTTTGAAATCATGTCAATCATGTTGAATGAAGATGATGGCTGGATATATCGTGTGGATGGGGTTGAAGAGACTACATTTTTGCTGGATGTGATTTTTCGGGGAAATTCATGTGAGCAATGAAGCAAAACCAAAGATGTTGATGCAGTCTGTTTTTCCTTGTTTCATTTGAGATGAAGAAGTTTCTCAATCACCAATTGATCAAACTATTGGCTTCCTCTTTTCCTGACATTTTGACCAGTTTTTGTGGCTCATGATTTAGATTTCCATAAATGAAAATTTTGTTTCCTTTAATATGTGCTGTGGTCTTCATATTTCCTCCATTGCTTGGTTCTGCTATACTGTTTGATACCCTTGTTTGATTATTTCTTTTTTTGATGGGTTGAATCAGTACATTTTTTAGCGACTTGCATAACTTGTGCAGCTTATGAGGCCACACTTGGAGGAAATAAAGGAAGAGATGCAGGATAGGGTATGGGCATCTGAATCTTCTTCTGTATTATGGTTATAATTAATAAAAATTGTTGACCATCAATTGATTTTGTGCTAGTAGATGATGTGCATGGGTCTGTGGACCCTGTTCAGCACCTCCTACCTAGTAGGACTAAATGATTTCAAATGATATGGGTCTCTGGCTCATCTTCTGATGGAAGTATACCTTACTAAAATTGACCACCATCCATTGACACCATCTATGTGATCTGCATTATGCTATGTTTGACTTTTAGACCCCTATTTATGCATGCAGATCACCCTTTGATAGGATGGCTTAATGGTTGATATCAGGCACCTCTTTATGAAGTCTTAGACATGGCACTGCTTAAATTCTGTTGTCTTGAACCCTCCTAAATATGACATTTCAAAAATCCGTGAACTGACATTATCTTCTACTGTTAAGGGGGTCTAAGTTGATGCAAGGTCTCATCCTGCTGTCTGTCAATAGACCTTTGCGCTCCTTGGAGGCAAAGTAATTTATTTCTACTTACTTAATGTTTGAACAAGACATCTCCCTAGCACATTTAATTTCCTATAATAATCTTCTGTAATTCCCAGGGCATGAGTCCTACGGCTGTGGCTGAAGGTCAGCAGCGAATGAAGCAGCTATTCAGGGAGTATGTAACCATTCCTTGCCCTTAAACATGGAGAACGTATAAATGGTGTGGTATTTTTTGTTTTTTTTTTATTTGGTTTTTGTCTATTTATTTCTAAACTCAGGTTGAGTAGGCAGCAATATATGGGATTCCCATCACAACCTTTACTTCCACAAGTTTTTCTTTTCCTCATTAGTTCTGCAGATTTTTCTGTTTTGACTCGTAGCCTGGATACTGCAGATACGGTGTTACACCATGGACTCCATTGAAGGGACTTTTATTCCAAGGTCCTGTCTTTGTCAGTTTTTTCCTCGCTGTAAGATTGTGATCTTTTTTATTACATTTAACATTCTATAAATTAATTAAATGCTTCATCTACAACTTTTTGTTGAATGGGGGTGTTTCTTATTGGAACCCCTTCATGTAGATTTCAAACATGGTGGAAAAAGTTCCATCATTTAAAGAGGGTGGAGCATTCTGGTTTACTGATCTGACTACGCCAGATAGTTTGTACATCTTTCCAGCTTTGACAGCGTTGACATTCTGGATAACAGTGGAAGTAAGCTTTTTTTTTTTTAATTTCTATTTCTTTCACTGACCACATAGTTCATCTTCTAATAGATTGTTTCTCACACTGACTTAAGAGGCTTAACCAGGAGCGGAGCCAGAAATTATGTCTATGTGGGCACTTTACTTAAAAAATTTAATTTTTTTTTCTCCCAATCAATAAAAATAAAATAATATTTTCAAATTTACTATATTGTATTCGATACTTAAAAATTCATAAAATACTAAAGTGTCAAACGTTGATAAATATAACTTACANAATCAATAAAAATAAAATAATATTTTCAAATTTACTATATTGTATTCGATACTTAACAATTCATAAAATACTAAAGTGTCAAACGTTGATAAATATAACTTACATAAATAAAAAAACAAAAAGAGAGACTAATTATAACCCTTCACAACAAATAAGGCTAACTGCATAAAAGATACTATAGTATTTCTCCAAATATACGATCAAACTATTAGTCATTGGTCACTCATGCAATTAAGCAACCTAGTTGCCATAATCTCTATAGCTTTTTTTTTTTGAATTGGAATCTCTATAGCTTAAAAAGAATGAGTTTGACATGTCAAAAACTTATATAGATGTATCCATAAAGTGTCCAAAAATTCATAATTATTTAGGTACGGNAAAAATGAGTTTGACATGTCAAAAACTTATATAGATGTATCCATAAAGTGTCCAAAAATTCATAATTATTTAGGTACGGGGACTATACAAATTGATAGAACAAAAAATAATAGAAAAATTTGAGGGTGGGCCTGTGCCCCCGGTCCTCAAGTAGCTCTGCCCTTGGGCTAATTCAGTGATGTCATTTAGTCTGTGCCCAATCCAAACAACAAGAAGTCTTCTTGTCTGGTTATTTATTTGTTTTCTAGTAATATTCAGCTCGGTCCATTTAGAAACCAATTGAATTAGGGCAGTTTGCGGTGGCAAAAATAGGGAAAATTCAGTNGAAGTCTTCTTGTCTGGTTATTTATTTGTTTTCTAGTAATATTCAGCTCGGTCCATTTAGAAACAAATTGAATTAGGGCAGTTTGCGGTGGCAAAAATAGGGAAAATTCAGTTTTTTTTTTCTATTTGTGCTGCATGTTTTAAGTTCTTTCTCATGCAAAGCCCTGTTCGTAAAGATTATGTAAGACACTATTTTTTCTTGAGATATGGCCAATTAGGTTATAGTAAGGTCAATTTGGCATCCATCATGTCCTCACAGGATATAATCTGTAGGATTGTAATCAATGTAATCAATTATGATGGAGCCTGTGAGAAAATATAATCTGTAGGATTGAACATTGGACAAGCAGTGAACTTGCGTGACATATGTTTTTAATTTCACTTTGATTGGTAACATGTTCTAAGTGCAACCACAGGAATATTTAAGTAAAATGGGTCCATAGATTTTCTCTGGCTTGCTCTTTTTGGGTTGATGATTATGCACCATTTATCCCTTTGGAAGCATGTATCGATGGGTCAGTTTCTGTAGGCCAGGAGGTGGCCAGGTGTAATAGAGTAATAGATGGAGTGGGGGTAAGCAAGAGTAGGGCAACCCATAAAGCAGAGTGAGATAAGTTGGCCTAGGAGGTGTGAAATCTAGCCCAACGTTTGTAATGGCTTAATGAGCTATTGAGCGTTAAACTTTGGTGGTTGCCAGTGGATGATTGTGATTAGGTTTTTACAGGATGCCTAGGCTGGGAGACTTAGGTGGGATGCATGGCCAGCCCATCGGTGTGGACTGGCATGCTTATACATTTTGTTTGTTTGGCTGCAACTTGTGTCACATAATAACACTGCTTCTTGCTATCTTTGGGACTCGCCAAAAGATGTTCTGCTACCTCTTGATGTGGACAGAGTGAGAAGCCCTTCATCTCCAGCCATTGGTCCAAGCACTTTTGTACGTCGCGCCACTGATTTCATGGTGCGGAGCCGTGTTATAGAAGAGTTTGGATAATGCTATTGCTGATGTGATGTTGTAAACGATGGTTGCGCATGCAATGCATGTAAATTTTCTTTTTTATACTATGGTTAAAAGTATAAATGAGTAGATTTATTATGGTTAAATTGTTATAATGTAAAGAAGTAAATTTACTGGTTAAAAAGTTAAAATGTAAAATAAGTTATCGGATCCAAATGATCTGGACCATCGTTGTATTTTATATTCACGATCAAAGCATGTTCTTTACTATGATTAAAATCTAAGTGGGTGGTTAAATGTTTACTATCATTAAAAGGTAAATATGGTTAAAGTACCTACTGTAGTTTAAAGGTTAAAGTTAGATAGATAGATTTATTGTGGTTAAAAAGTTAAAATGCAAGTTGTGACATAAAGCGTCAGATTTAAACGATATGGATTAAGCTTTCTATGTTATTACATATATTTTTTTTTTGTACCTAATCTTCCATTTGTTCTTTCCAATAACACGTTCTTCTTGACATGGATTAATAATTTTTTGTGTTATTTTTGTTTTGGATTTGGATTTAGATCACCCACCTATCATCTATTCATAAGTTGTTTGTTGCATTCGGTTTGGCCTNGAATCATGGATACTGTGTTGGATTTTATTTATTTTGTTATATTTATATGAGACAAAATCATGCTTATGTCCTGAGTTCTTGGGTGTTCCTATAATAGTGTACTATCTGCTCTAGCAATGAAACTGTGTACAGAGGGCAAGAATTTTTATTAATTTTTTATCCGTTGTGAAATGAACACAGCTAACTTGGAAGGGATTTCCGAGGCTAGCTTTAAATTTTTATACATTGAGCCATGCATGAAAGACGTGTTGATGTGGTTATTACAAGATTTTCTTTTTTATGTTTCATAGATCGTTGCGATTCGCAGGTCGGACCAGTAGGTGGCTGGCTATACGTGGATTGCACTCTCTCTCTCTCTCTCTCTCACACACACACACACAGACTCACTCACTGTCACACAATTATAGATCGTAAATAAAAAACAGGGAAATTTTGGGTTTGTTTAGGTTGCATCTTAAAAAATAGTATATAAAAATTATTTTTGGAAAGAATTTTAAGAAAATGTTTTTAAAAATTTTTAAATTACAAAATCTATTTGGATATATATATTTTTAAAAATAATTTTAAAGAATAAAAATTATAAAATATATTTGAACAATAATCACAATTTTCACCTTTCTTTTTCTTTTCTTTTTTTTTGTCTCCGCAAACCACACTGACACAAGCGAGCGCACACACACACAAGCATACACAGAGGCATAGGCACACACAAAGACATACACACACAGGCGCACACACACACAGACAGATTCACACAAATTCGTAGTTGTTGTGAAAGAGAGAGAAGGGGGTAGATTTGAAGTACAGTGGAGAGAGAGGCAGAGCTGGAGCATAGTGAAGATTTCGAAGAAGAAGAGGTTGGGTAAAGTGGAGAGGAAGAAAAATAAAAAATAAGACACTGTTTGCTGTTAAGGGTAGGGGTGTTATTTTTTGACTCGAATACGAACACGACTCGAACAGAATTCGACACGAACTTAAAAATAATACGATTAATTAGCACGAATAATAAATGAATCAAATTAAGGTTCGACACGAGTAACACGATTAATAGGTACAATAGATAGAAAATAATTATTTAATGAGTATTGTAAATAGAAAATAAAAATTTTATAATTTTTTAAATAGTATTATATTAGTTGTTGTCAAACTAAATAATTTTTTATTAACACGTACCGAAAGTGATATGACACAAAAATAACACGACTGAAAGTGATACGACACGACACGATTGACACCCTAGCTCAGGAGACTTGAAGCTGCGACCTCATTTAACTTGTTTATCTTGTCTTTATGTTTCCAAAAATTTCAAAGAAAATTGTAAAAATAAGTTTAATTTGTTTTCTATTTTTGTGTTTCAAATCTCAATTTTTTTCAGAAATTTGAGAACAAAAATGTTAAGCAAATAAATTTTGGGTGTTTTTAAAATTATAAGAACAAAATACAGTTTTCGAATGGCAAAGCAAACACACACCTTTGGGTTTTGGGGTGAATCCACGAATTAGTTTAAGAGGATCAATCATTTGGACAAGTTTGAAGGGGGTAATTGTGGAGTTTAAAAAATTAGAGAGGTCAATTTTCCATAAGAACAAAAAGAGAGTTGATATGCACTCTTAACTTAACATTTTTTTTTTGGAAAAATACCTAACAAAACTATATAACTTTTAGGGAATTGTTAAGTTATTTGTGCGAAACAATTCACCAATCATCAGTTATCCTCTTGAGCACCGATTNAGACAGATTCACACAAATTCGTAGTTGTTGTGAAAGAGAGAGAAGGGGGTAGATTTGAAGTACAGTGGAGAGAGAGGCAGAGCTGGAGCATAGTGAAGATTTCGAAGAAGAAGAGGTTGGGTAAAGTGGAGAGGAAGAAAAATAAAAAATAAGACACTGTTTGCTGTTAAGGGTAGGGGTGTTATTTTTTGACTCGAATACGAACACGACTCGAACAGAATTCGACACGAACTTAAAAATAATACGATTAATTAGCACGAATAATAAATGAATCAAATTAAGGTTCGACACGAGTAACACGATTAATAGGTACAATAGATAGAAAATAATTATTTAATGAGTATTGTAAATAGAAAATAAAAATTTTATAATTTTTTAAATAGTATTATATTAGTTGTTGTCAAACTAAATAATTTTTTATTAACACGTACCGAAAGTGATATGACACAAAAATAACACGACTGAAAGTGATACGACACGACACGATTGACACCCTAGCTCAGGAGACTTGAAGCTGCGACCTCATTTAACTTGTTTATCTTGTCTTTATGTTTCCAAAAATTTCAAAGAAAATTGTAAAAATAAGTTTAATTTGTTTTCTATTTTTGTGTTTCAAATCTCAATTTTTTTCAGAAATTTGAGAACAAAAATGTTAAGCAAATAAATTTTGGGTGTTTTTAAAATTATAAGAACAAAAAACAGTTTTCGAATGGCAAAGCAAACACACACCTTTGGGTTTTGGGGTGAATCCACGAATTAGTTTAAGAGGATCAATCATTTGGACAAGTTTGAAGGGGGTAATTGTGGAGTTTAAAAAATTAGAGAGGTCAATTTTCCATAAGAACAAAAAGAGAGTTGATATGCACTCTTAACTTAACATTTTTTTTTTGGAAAAATACCTAACAAAACTATATAACTTTTAGGGAATTGTTAAGTTATTTGTGCGAAACAATTCACCAATCATCAGTTATCCTCTTGAGCACCGATTCACCGACCATCCATTCCCTCAATTGGCATGTTTTTTTATGCGTCATTTTGTTTCTTTCATCCTATCTCACTTCCCAACTCTCTCAATTCTAGTTATTTTTGTGGGTGAATGTAGTGAAGATGAAATTATTTGTTGAGGTGCAATTGTGTAGGCAGTGGCGTTACAATGGTGGCTCATATTTCGATAATAGTATTTGATGCAATCTTTATTTTTTGAATTTCAATGGAGATTTTGATTTTAATTGTGATTTTTACTGCACATTTAGATTTTTATTTTCTTTTTCACTTTCATTTACGAAGTTTAATTAAGAGTTTGATTCAATTTTTGAGTAGAAATGACAACAATAGCGAGTAATGATGGTTTTTCTTCTTTTTGCAAACATGAATTTGAATTTAATGTTTTACTTTGAATTTTGTTAATCAGTTTAATTTGGGATTATTTGTGATTGTGAGCAATTGGGTGGTGACGGTGCATAGTGTGGTAGTCATGGTGGGCTGGTGAATTGGTGGTGGTGGTGGTGCACAATGGGGTAGTGTTGGTGCGCGTTGGTTGAAATGATTCGATGATGGTGGTGCGCTGTGGGATGGAGGTGGTGGGATCAAAATTGTCAATATATCAGGGCAAAGTGAAAAAAATCATAGTTTAGGGGCAAAAATAGAATTATTTTTTGATAAATTTGTAACTAATGTTAAACCGATGTGAAATTAACCATTAATCTAGAAAAAATAATAGTTAAAAAGATATAAAAAAAATCATAATTGAAAAAAAGTTAAACAATAATTTATTTCTATAAAATAAAATAACTTACAATTCAAATCTCAAAAGATAAATAAAATGACTTTCGCTATTTGCAGTTGAGATTGTTTTAAATTTTACTTTAAAGTTAATCTAACGACTAATATTAACACCCTAAATTTAATAGGAAAAATAGTCTAGTGTGTTTGAAATGATTTTTTAAAAGTACTTTTAAAAATTATTTCTCATAAATACTTTAAAAAAATAGTGTTTAAAACCGCCCTACCACTACTTCTACCACCTCCACCCCCATCGCCACTACTGCCAACTATCGCCGCCAACACCACCACTACCATTACCACCGCCTACACANATTTGTGCGAAACAATTCACCAATCATCAGTTATCCTCTTGAGCACCGATTCACCGACCATCCATTCCCTCAATTGGCATGTTTTTTTATGCGTCATTTTGTTTCTTTCATCCTATCTCACTTCCCAACTCTCTCAATTCTAGTTATTTTTGTGGGTGAATGTAGTGAAGATGAAATTATTTGTTGAGGTGCAATTGTGTAGGCAGTGGCGTTACAATGGTGGCTCATATTTCGATAATAGTATTTGATGCAATCTTTATTTTTTGAATTTCAATGGAGATTTTGATTTTAATTGTGATTTTTACTGCACATTTAGATTTTTATTTTCTTTTTCACTTTCATTTACAAAGTTTAATTAAGAGTTTGATTCAATTTTTGAGTAGAAATGACAACAATAGCGAGTAATGATGGCTTTTCTTCTTTTCGCAAACATGAATTTGAATTTAATGTTTTTTTGAATTTTGTTAATCAGTTTAATTTGGGATTATTTGTGATTGTGAGCAATTGGGTGGTGACGGTGCATAGTGTGGTAGTCATGGTGGGCTGGTGAATTGGTGGTGGTGGTGGTGCACAATGGGGTAGTGTTGGTGCGCGTTGGTTGAAATGATTCGATGATGGTGGTGCGCTGTGGGATGGAGGTGGTGGGATCAAAATTGTCAATATATCAGGGCAAAGTGAAAAAAATCATAGTTTAGGGGCAAAAATAGAATTATTTTTTGATAAATTTGTAACTAATGTTAAACCGATGTGAAATTAACCATTAATCTAGAAAAAATAATAGTTAAAAAGATATAAAAAAAATCATAATTGAAAAAAAGTTAAACAATAATTTATTTCTATAAAATAAAATAACTTACAATTCAAATCTCAAAAGATAAATAAAATGACTTTCGCTATTTGCAGTTGAGATTGTTTTAAATTTTACTTTAAAGTTAATCTAACGACTAATATTAACACCCTAAATTTAATAGGAAAAATAGTCTAGTGTGTTTGAAATGATTTTTTAAAAGTACTTTTAAAAATTATTTCTCATAAATACTTTAAAAAAATAGTGTTTAAAACCGCCCTACCACTACTTCTACCACCTCCACCCCCATCGCCACTACTGCCAACTATCGCCGCCAACACCACCACTACCATTACCACCGCCTACACAACCGTCATGCCCACCACCACCATCATGGCCCCTTCCCCCACCCCCACCACTATTGTCCCCATTACCGCCTCTACGATTATTCATATGTTCATATTTGTATTTATAAACATATAAATATAAATATATTTATTATTTATTATTTTCAGTTACATGCAATAACCAATAATTTATTGAAATAAGTTGATAAAACTCATACAGCAATCTTAAATTATTATTTTTTATATCAACAGTATCCCAAAAGTAAGGAACTAACAAAATCTTTAACAATAATGCTATTTGACCAATCCGAACCAGAACAGCTCAGCGTCCATATCCGAACTGTCACCAAATCACAATGAAAAAGAAAGTCCCTTTCAAATAGCCCACACCTCTCCATGTCTCCCTCACTCCGCCTTTAATAGCCGCCCAATATCAAATTTTCAATTCACTACTCTCTCTCTCACNTGGTGGTGGTGGTGCACAATGGGGTAGTGTTGGTGCGCGTTGGTTGAAATGATTCGGTGATGGTGGTGCGCTGTGGGATGGAGGTGGTGGGATCAAAATTGTCAATATATCAGGGCAAAGTGAAAAAAATCTTAGTTTAGGGGCAAAAATAGAATTATTTTTTGATAAATTTGTAACTGATGTTAAACCGATGTGAAATTAACCATTAATCTAGAAAAAATAATAGTTAAAAAGATATAAAAAAAATCATAATTGAAAAAAAGTTAAACAATAATTTATTTCTATATAATAAAGTAGCTTACAATTCAAATTTTAAAAGATAAATAAAATGACTTTTGCTATTCGCAGTTGAGATTGTTTTAAATTTTACTTTAAAGTTAATCTAACGACTAATATTAACACCCTAAATTTAATAGGAAAAATAGTCCAGTGTGTTTGAAATGACTTTTTAAAAGTACTTTTAAAAATTATTTCTCATAAATACTTTAAAAAAATAGTGTTTAAAACCGCCCTACCACTACTTCTACCACCTCCACCCCCATCGCCACTACTGCCAACTATCGCCGCCAACACCACCACTACCATTACCACCGCCTACACAGCTGTCATGCCCACCACCACCGTCATGGCCCTTTCCCCCGCCCCCACCACTATTGTCTCCATTACCGCCTCTACAATTATTCATATGTTCATATTTGTATTTATAAACATATAAATATAAATATATTTATTATTTATTATTTTCAGTTACATGCAATAACCAATAATTTATTGAAATAAGTTGATAAAACTCATACAGCAATCTTAAATTATTATTTTTTATATCAACGGTATCCCAAAAGTAAGGAACTAACAAAATCTTTAACAATAATGCTATTTGACCAATCCGAACCAGAACAGCTCAGCGTCCATATCCGAACTGTCACCAAATCACAATGAAAAAGAAAGTCCCTTTCAAATAGCCCACACCTCTCCATGTCTCCCTCACTCCGCCTTTAATAGCCGCCCAATATCAAATTTTCAATTCACTACTCTCTCTCTCACATTACGTTGCAGCAAAGCAAAAAGGAGTATAGATAGAGAGAGAGAAATCATACATATATATATATATACACACACGAATATACATATTTAGAGAGAGAGAGAGAGCGAGCGAGCGAGAGCGGGAGAGAGTTAGAGAGATCGGAGATGGCGCAGAAGAGATATATAATAGAGATCGAGCCGGCAAAGGAAGCGAAGGATGAGAAGCCATCAATCGGTCCGGTGTATCGCAGTGTGTTCGCTAAGGACGGTTTTCCACCTCCGATTGACGGAGTGGAGAGTTGTTGGGACATTTTTCGGTGAGCTTTTGACTTTCTTTTTTCTATGAAGATATTTTCCGAGATTTTCCTTTTAGAATTCTACGAATTTGATCTGTTCGCAAGTCTGAATCAAAATGCTCTAATTTATGTTCGCTATGTTCTCACATTATGTTTCCTTGATTTACTCTTAAGAAGAGTGAGAGACAAGGTTTCAATTTCACTTGATTTTGAGGTCGATGAGTTCTTGTAAACTCTGTGAGTGATATATGTTAATTGTTTTTCATTCTTAATAAGTGTTGAATTCTACTCTATCTTAGTTTTTTTTTTTTTTTTTTTATGAATGCATTTGTTTGAGTAGACATGTGAATGCTTTTATATTTAGCTATAAGGAGTTTAATCGTGATACTGCTTAAATTTTATTAAGCTCTGATTTAGTGTTTGCACATTTTGATTTCTTGTAATCATTTTGTTTGTAGAAGTCGAAGGAAACTTCAATTTGACTTCCTGATGTTTGATCAGTTAATGAGTATACATATGCATGTTTCTATGCACGCATGACCATATTTACATATATAAGGTGTTCGGTCATCATATTGCTCAAAGTTTATTTTTGAAAACTGTCACTTAATAAGACTTAGTGATGTAGAACAACTCGCTGAAGACTTTATGGAGCAGGTGGATCGCCAATGGTCCAAGAAAGCAAATAGGCATTAGTGTTTTTTTTGTTTAAGTAGTTTAGTCTAAATTTCCTTTTATTTTTCTGGTAGATTCCAGTTTTTCTTCCTAGTTTGCTAGGGTGTTCGTCTTGCTAGAATGATATCTAGTCTACAGCGTATCCATTCTGTGTCAGCAAGGAGAGCAAGGTAGAAATGCTGACAATCCTCTGCAATTATCACACCTTCACATCTTCGAAACTCTTTTTCCCAACTCTGAGACTCATCAGCCACATCACCAGTATGAGCTATTACATCCATCGATCTATTAGCTTCACGATAATCATGTTTGATGTTGATATACAAAAGCTTTGTCATATCCTCAATTATCATCCAACTCCACTAACGAACACTGTTTCACTTGAGCTATCATTGCTCACTTTGGAATCACCTTCAATTTTGGATCCTCCTGATGCCTTTCCATGCATCCTTTCCCACAGATCCATCAAACCTATTTATCCTTGACATCCTTCCTCACAACTAATGGATGCTGATTAAATTTCTTTGAACTATTGATTTGGTTTAACAACATGGATTGTGCAAACGCATGCAGACGGAATTGACACGTGTAAAATATTGTTAAGATAGTTTAAAGAAATTTCCTAATACAGTCTGGAATTGTGCATTCACCGTGTACGGAACTTGAGATGCTTCCACTCGTTAATTAGTAACTAATCACTTTGAATTATTCTTGACATGAGATTCTTGTGTTGATAGTCCTGTGAAAAATTCTTTGTTCAAATTTCAGTATGTCAGTAGAGAGATATCCAAATAACCCCATGCTGGGTCGGCGTGAGATGATGAATGGAAAGGTATAGTGGCATTAAATTGTGTTTGCGTGTATTTGTGAGTAACTTCTACCTTAGTGACTAATGTGCTGACTTTTAGGCAGCTGATACTTAAATTTGACGCTCTTACTTTGCAGCCTGGTAAGTATGTGTGGATGACTTACAGAGAAGTACACAACATAGTAGTGAAAGTTGGAAATTCTGTCCGCAGTTGTGGTGTTGGTGAAGTAAGTAACATCTGATAACCTATTCATTTGAAATTTTGAGCAGGTTGTGATGATTATTAGTTTATCACAGAGCAAGTTAATATCCCCCTTCATTGTTGGCAGTTAGCCTTGCTAATCATTTTTCTGAGAAAAATGTTCTCACTTCCCATCTAAGGGCAGGGGTATTTTTAATCTTTTTGAATACACTGTCGATCTTCGAGAATGTAGCAAACAAGCTCTCTTCCTCAAGTGTCTGCCTATTTTTCTGTTTCCCTCTCTCCCGAAGTACTACTTTTCTTTCTATGATATTTTTCTGGGCAAGAGGTTGTTTTGTCTATGTTTCTTTGCATTTTCATCAATTGTACATTGTGCTTTTTGGGTTCCTACCAACGGCGGTGCCATCACTATTTTGGTGAATTCTGCTGCCATTTTCTGTCTTAAAAATTGATGATTGAAGCTAACCACCTGCAACTGGTGGTGATGTTAGCATTTGCTTTTATCTTTGGGGTTGACTGCAAGTGTTACAAATATGTTGAGTTAGTTTTTCAGGCCTGTGCCAGCCAACTTGCCCTATCAGTGTCCAAGTTTGAATTTACGGCCCTACACTCGTGTTCACTCTTAACGTTTAACCACAATACTGTTCCGCCTTCTTGGTGTATTAAAAGTGAATTGGGTTTTGGCGAGCTGTAGTATGAATAAAAACATATTGGAGAATTTAATGGCTCTGACCATTTTCTTCTTTGTGGTTAATGTTCAATCTTTCATGTAACCTTTTTTACTAGGGAGGACGATGTGGTATTTATGGCGCCAATTGCGCAGAGTGGATTATGAGCATGGAGGTATTTTTCTCTTTCTTTTTCCCTTCCCTTTCCTTCTTTTCTGAATTTTATTCTGTTGTTCTCGTTGAAGTAACATCTAATATGTCTTGCGAACTCTATAGTTTCCTTGTGAAGGTCTTTTTTTGTTGTCATATTTTATTCATCACACCTGTGGGTTGCTATGTAGTTTAATTTATTGCCACACACAATCCGCGCGGTCTCTCATCTTTGCTGATATATTTAGTGGTCACTTAAGGCACTCTTTTGGTACTCTACATATCCTGTGATGAAATTTGATTAAAAAAGTAAAAATTAAACCATTTGATATAATTTGAAATGCAGTCATATGGATGTTGTCTGTTGCTGTCCATTGGACTGTAATGTAGGCCTATGCTTCTTGTTTGGGGTTTGGTTATTGTGGCAGCCTAAACCTATTGTTTGCCTGCAAGTTTTGGTCATCATGGGTAGCCTGGACGGCTGGACCTCTTGTTTGCCCGCAAGTCTGGCCTTTGAGCTCACTGGTGGTTCCAAAGAATTAGTTGATGTACCAGTATGATCACTCTTAACTGATCAAACAAAATATGAATCAAGGGGAATTTTGTATGCATGTATATATTACCATCTGTGTCATGGTAAACTACGTTAACTATTCTCCTGGTTAGCAACCTATAATTATTTGTTTTGGGCATTATGATCTCTCAAAGTGTCATCACTGGCTGTCAAAAAGCTTGTAGGTTTTCCAAAATCGCCCTACCCAGCTGGAAGTCGTATACACTGAGCTGAATTCAGGATCCTCCATACCCCTCTAACTACCTTTTTATACTGCAAGAACGTTTTTGGAAGCCAGTCAAGAATCCATATCTTAATATTTCTTAAACTTAAACAGTAAATACTAGTGGGATTCTTTTTCAGTGATACAATGCACAGACACTTCTTCCTTTTTTTTACAAGTATACACTGGGATTAAACATTTACCACCATCTGCAGTCGTATCTGTATCAACTAACAAAGTTATTGACATTGCATTCCTAATAAAATGGCTTAAGTTTTGTTACTTATTTACCTTCCCATTATTAGATTGTTGCCCATATGTTCATCTATTTTTCCTTAGCAACTTGATGTTTACATTGTTTCTGGTCCACGAGTATTTTTGGTTTTCCTGGAAACTGAAATTACTTTCCAACTGTTCTTCTACTTCTATACACCTTTTCCTCTTCTTTGTTGTCCTACTAATTCTGTTAGCGGGATCTTCTGTGGGTCTAATTTCTGCATTGCCGTGGAACATGAAAAAATGGGATGAGAATAATGTAATGAACAGTTTAATTTTAACACAAAGGCATCAAGTCTAAAGTTCCATTTCCTATTTTCTGCTGTTCCTATTATTCTGATGCATTTCTTGCTTTTCAGATATGAGCATAAGTTGTTCTTTTTGAATAGTATGCTATGCATTTCTTTCTAACATATACAAGTAATGCAGGCATGCAATGCTCTTGGCCTCTACTGTGTTCCTTTATATGACACTTTAGGTACATACTATGCCTTGCTTGCATGGGTTGATGTAGCCATGTATTGTTCCCATTAATCACGAATTTATGTGTAACGAAGAGTATTGAGTGTAGTTTTCTTTGAATTTTGACCACCTCTGTTATGTGGTCTAGGTGCTGGGGCCATTGAATATATCATATGCCATGCGGAGATTACGATTGCTATTGTAGAAGAAAAAAAGATACCTGAGGTAAATTGTCTAATATTTGCGTCTGGCTTCCTGCCTAAGGTTGTTATGAAATATCTCCAGTAGACTTCTGATTTGAATTCAAAAGTATACTACGTTTCTTCCAATTTAGGTCGGCAATGTACGCTATATTTTCATTGCTGATTGCATTTACAATTATATTTATCTGATATCCCTCATCTCATTGAGGAGATTATTGTATTCTGTGAATCGAGGTGCAAAAGTATTGAACAATAATTTTTATTTCTGGGATATTCATTTCTGTTCACATTGGTTCTGTTTTTTGCCCCCTTCAGTTGTTGAAAACATTTCCAAATGCAACAAAGTATTTAAGAAGTAAGTTGCACATAGATTCGAATTTCTTTTTGCCTACGCATGTGGGACTAGGAAATCAAGATACAGATTCTCTTTGCAGCAATTGTGAGCTTTGGGAAAGTAACTCCTGAACAAAGGGAAGAAGTTGAAAAGTGTGGCTTGGCTATATATTCTTGGGAAGAATTTTTACTATTGGTAAGCTTTTATTTATCTATTTTTCCACTCTATGATTCTTTAAACGTTTATTTGTTATGTTAATAATAATTCAGTTTTGTTGGATAATGCCTTATCTTTTACCAGATGAATGTTATCCTCTCAAAGAAATAAAATTTCCAAGATGTGGAAGTTGTCGAAATTTTTATTATTCTACTGTCATTTCGTGCAATATTTGATGAATTTTTTCGTTTTGTCTTCTATTTTCCTTTCTTGTTTGGATTTGTTATCCAACCTTATCGATGTACTTTTCATATTTCTAACATATTATGTTTCCTGTAAAAAAAAAAATAAAAAATAGTTTGGTTCATAATTTTAAAAGATTTCCAATTAAGGCACTAACGTCTGGTTGTGGTCTGCATACTCCACTAATTATATTGCAATCACAAAATCTTATCTACTTTGATCATCATTTATGTATGTCAATGCTAATCTGGCTAAGGGAAAGCGGCTTGTTGAGGTACTGCCTGACCAACAGTGGTGGCTTAGCATGTGGTGCTTTAGGATGCTAATATACTCTTTCCAGATAACCAAGGGTTTCCTTTGGACCACTGCTGCCTCATCATGTTCTTCCAGCTATTTACGTCTTGACCTATTTATGTCACTTTAGGCATAACGATGAACTCATTTTTGGCCTCAATATTGTGGTACTTTGAAGTAAGTTGCGCTTGAATACAATGCGTTTTGCATTTGAAAGGATGGATGCTTAAGCATGTTGGCATCCTAATTGCTTGTTAAGTTTTATGGTGCATCTCTCGGAAGATTATGTGATTTTGATGTACACATTTGTACATGCACACCCCTAAACCCTAAACAAGAGAGATGTGGATTATATGCTAGAACTTGCATCTTAAAAAGCTTTTAGTTTGACTCTGCTATGTGTCAGTTGATACTAAATAAACAAATACAGGCTGAGAGAAACAATGACAGAAGTCATTTTTGATGTTTTTTAATGAAAAAAATATTTTCATTGTTGGTTTCATGTACAACAGCCTATTTAAGTGTCATTTTTCCCTTATTAATATTTAATCTTGGTAATAAAGCTCCTCTTTGTGATCTATGGTTTCATTTAAATTTTGCACATATTTGTTTTCGTACAGGGAGGTAATAAACACTTTGATCTTCCAGTAAAAACGAAAAGCGACATTTGTACAATAATGTATACCAGCGGAACAACTGGTGACCCCAAGGGTGTTATGATTTCCAATAATAGCATTGTTACTCTTGTGGCCGGGGTGAAGTGCTTCCTAGAGAGTGTGAATGAAGGGGTAATTTACTTACCCATTTCAATTTATTTCTAGTCCCCTTTGAGAGGAAGCTTGGCCTGTTATGAAGTGTTATTTCTTCCAATGATGCAACTTATGTGGGGGCAACTAATTGATTTGTGTTGACTTTTATGTCTTCTGTCAAACTTTCTGACCTTTGCATATACTTGTGTTGGAACATTTTACAGTTGACTGTGAAGGATGTATACCTTTCGTATCTTCCTCTCGCGCACATCTTTGATCGGGTGATTGAGGAATGTTTTATCAACCATGGGGCTTCAATAGGGTTTTGGCGTGGGGTAAAATGACCACAAATATTTCTTCCCCCTCCCCAAAAAAGGAAAAAAGGAAAAAAGCAAAAGAGCTGTGTAAGAACCTGGTCATTGTTTTGCGTCTGCAGGATGTCAAATTATTGGTCGAGGACATTGGAGAGCTGAAACCTACCATTTTCTGTGCTGTTCCCCGTGTGTTAGATAGAATTTATTCAGGTATTTTTTCTCTTGCCCACGATCTGTTCTGTTGAGTTTTAATTTTTTGATCTTATGATATGGTTGCCAAAAGTGGTGAATTCAGTCATTTTGATGGTGATGTTGGTTGACCGCTTCTCGCAAGGTGTAGAATAGTTGACATACAATTATTCTGGTACACTGTGGAGTACTCCTATCAGAAATCCACTTCTGAAAAACATTAGCCTTGTTCAATAATTTTATGTTTGAGTTCGATTGGCCTGTTCGTGCAAACCCAAGATTATCTTCTCATCTGGATAACATGCGAAGAATAAAATCATTTGAGTTTGTCAATTTTTGGTTATAGAGTCCATCATTGGGTGTTGGAGAGAGAAAATTATTTGGTTCCAATTTTTGCACATGGGTTTCATAGAAGGAAAATAAAGACCAAAATTGTACTATAGAGCCCAAGCTCTGATAAGTTGGTCTCCCTGCATCAGAGATACTGCTGCTGCATAGCAGATTCAGTTTGTGTATTTACAAGAAGTTTACATCTCCTTTAAATGCTAAATTTATTTTATTGTCGAGTGGCCATTTTCAGGTTTGCAACAGAAGATTTCTTTGGGGGGATTTTTAAAGCAGAAATTGTTTAATGTTGCATACTCCTCGTAAGTGCTCTTGATGTTCTTTTATGGAAAAAGAGAAGTAGGATTTTATTGTGAATCCACACATCATTTCCAGTATGTTGGGCTTCTGTTCCCAGTGTGTTCCTTTACTTGTTGAAGAACGTTATTTCATCTAATACGGTCCCCAGGCTTATGTATTTATTGCTTTCAGTCATGCATTTCCTAGTAGCATGTGGTAGTTGTTCTGCTTTAAATACTTTTCTGGCTCGGAAGTTCTGCCATAAGGTTTGTACTTCCCAATTAATCCTTGTTGTGTCACCTTTATTGGATTATTAAAAAACCTCATTTTGTTCATCATGCATAATTTACCAAGAATTTGCATTTAATTGCAATTATGTTTGCTCTGGATGTAAGATAAGCTAATATGTGGGGGTGGTGGATTATCGTATATTCGTCTACCTGTTTAAATTTCTGCAGCAAATTGCGTAACATGAGGAGGGGGCGTAAACATCACGAGGCATCTCCACTTTGGGATAAAATTATTTTCAGTAAGGTGGTGGACTTATGCTTAGAGGAGCTTCTATGTTTTTTTTTTTACCTCTTGTACATATAATGGAGATGTGACCTCCACTTGTCTACTCTCTGGCTCAGGTTAAGCAAGGGCTAGGGGGCAATGTAAGGATTATTTTATCTGGAGCTGCACCTCTTGCTCCGCATGTAGAAGGTTATCTACGAGTGGTGGCTTGTTGTCATGTTCTTCAAGGATATGGTAGGGTTGTCTTCGAAAATTTTGCTGGTCACTGAACTGATTAAATTATTTTCCTTGCTTTAGTTTGGCACGAATATATATATATATATATATATATATATATATATATTTATTTATTTATTTAAGTTCCATTGGTTCCTCTTCTGTTAATAGTGAATTTTTTTTCTCAGCATGGTAGTTTGACGCTTTTTATCTGCTTATTATTGCTGATTGTCGACCCTTCTCTTTGAAGGCATCAGCTGAAAGCTTGATGCATCTGTCTGTCAAATCATTACCTCTGCGCCATTCTTACAAAACACCCATTTTTCCATTCTAAATGGAAGTGAATGATCCCAGACAATGACGAAACACCCTTAATGATTGACTCCACCAATGAAGAATCTGCCGTAGGTGGCTAATTCTCATGTTCTGGAAGTTTGGTGGAATAGGCCTCAGTAGTGTCAACTGCTACGCTGCTTAAAATAAACGTGTGAAATGCATTGATGCCACTGAGCTTTTGGGCTACACTGAAATGAATTCTGCTCAATCATTTGGAAATGAGCACACCCTGCTTCATGTGTCCTGGAGATATATTAGTTGAACAGTAGGCATGTTTAAAGCTCGTTTCCTGATTGCCGGATGATGACCACTTTTCCTTTTGCCATTTGTGTAGGCCTGACGGAGTCCTGTGCCGGGACATTTGCCGCGATACCTAATGAGTTTGATATGCTGGGTACAGTGGGACCTCCAGTACCCAATGTGGATGTATGCCTAGAATCTGTTCCTGAAATGGGATATAATGCCCTTTCAAGCACACCACGTGGAGAAATATGCATAAGGGGAGAGACCTTGTTTTCAGGGTACTACAAACGTGAAGACCTCACGAAAGAGGTGATGGATGATGGGTGGTTCCACACAGGTTTGTTGGTACAGATGCTCGCTCTTGAATTAATTCGAGGTCCACCAGTCCATAAATTGCTTTCTATATAACCTTGCTCCCAACAATTGTTTGTCAGGGGATATTGGCGAATGGCAAAGGAATGGAAGCATGAAAATTGTAGACCGTAAGAAAAACATTTTCAAGCTCTCACAAGGAGAATATGTTGCTGTTGAAAACTTGGAGAATGTTTATGGTCTTGTTCCTGATATTGAAATGGTATACCTTCCAACTGCTTGTGCTTGCATGTATACATATATGTCGGTATGTGCATACTGCATACAGTCACACTTCAATGTTTATTTCTTCAGGGAATGATAATTTTTGATGTTTTCGCTCTCAATTTTCATGAACATAGTTTGAAAGATGTCTTTGCTTCAAATGTTGGCATTTTGATACCTCTACGGCTGCATATGTAATTAGGAAATGATTTTAGTACTGTAATGGTTCAGTATATTTCTTGCACCAACCCTAATTTTATATAGAACAAGAAGGAAATGGTGCTGCCATTGCTATTGATGTAGTATTCCATTTAGCTGTTTGAATATGTTGAAATTTGGTCGTTTTGTTTCTGAAACTGGACAGCTATAAAATTATATTTAGGTATGTGGTTTAAAATTTTAGGCATGTAATGCTCAATAGTTTGCTGTGGAGCACTGGAATTTCTTTGCTTCGTTAGCTAGTCTTTGGTCTATCCATTGATGACCTTGTGTTTCAAGACGGGAATAATCATGTTTTTGGCTTTCAGATATGGATATATGGAAATAGCTTCGAGTCTTTTCTTGTCGCCGTTGTTAACCCCCATGAGCAAGCAATTAAATGCTGGGCTGAAGAGAATGGTGTATCAGAGGATTTTCATTCCCTCTGTGAGAATCCCAAGGTGAAAGAATACATAATTGGAGAGCTCAAGAGGGTTGGGAAAGAGAAAAAGGTTCATGCTCTTTTCACTTGAATTCTTATTTGGTCATGCAAATGAAATAACACTTAATCAGGGGGTGTGTGTGCTTTTGGTGGGGGGGAGGGAAATAAAAGCATTTTTTGCCTAACTTGTATTCTTTGCAGCTGAAAGGTTTCGAATTTATCAAAGCTGTTCACCTAGATCCAGTGCTATTTGACATGGATCGTGACCTTCTCACTCCAACTTTTAAGAAGAAAAGGCCCCAATTGCTCAAATATTACCAGGTAGGTCCCCTGGTCCTCTATAATGAAAGACACGTTTTTCTACCATGAGCATGAATGGCACGGTATTAACCTGCAAAACAATTTCAAACCACAAACAGTGACATGGTACATATTTATTATAGAGTGGTAGTCTACGTGCATCCTATCATACTGTCTGTGTAATTGAGATGCATCATCCGGTGTGGTCCATTGGAGATTTCATGGTGGCCCCTTTTCCTATTAGAGTGGCAAATTTTGGCTCCATACCATTGCCCTGACCCGGTATGAATCCCAAAATATCAAAACAAATTATTACCAATGGCTTAATTTTGACAAATCTGTTTAATTCGCATTGTAAGAAGAAAATGTGTGTTTTTTTTGGTCATTTCTTGATCTCGTTAATACCACCCAGTTCTGATAAAAAAAATAATAGTACCTACTTTAGTCCCCATTAATGGGTGTTTGGGAGGTGTAGATTGACTAAAAATCTTACCTTTAGTATTATTTGAACAAATTAGTTGCTCTCATATTCAAACCCACAATCTTGAGGTTGTGGTGTCGAGTTTTAACAATTGAACCAGTGTTTTATTAGTTGTTGTAAAAGTATTTGATGTGACACAATTTGATTGACACTTCTAATTTCAACATACTCTTATAGTATCTTATTAATATTTTGTTGTCTTCGTTATATTACACCTCCCAATTGGTCAATTCATAGAATCTCCGTGAAACTTTAATTGCCAATTTGTGTTTGGGATAATTGTTGATGGCTACGATTCTTATTTTAAGTCTACATGAAGACTCTTATTCTTACTAGATAGTTTATCAAAAATTTCTTATCAAATCAATATAAATTGTTAGATTAGTCGATTTAATTAACTTTTTTTAGTGTACCTAGAATCCCTTTTTTCACGAGTTTGTTGTTTGATTGCTATCTGAGTAGCCAGCAGGTAGCTTTGCTACGACACTATCTGAGGCTCCAAAAGCTAGTTAGTTTAGTCTATGAGTCTCCTATTAGTTTCTTCTGTCTCTATCAGTTATCATACGCAAACTCTAGTTGTATAAAGACAACAATAGTACTTAAGATCTTTCCTTTGCGCAGCACATTGAACTTCCCAGCTTCACTCGATGGACCGTACTAAAGAAGCTTGTCTTAGTTAATTCCTTTGAACTCTTTTCGCCTATTCTGTTTTTAATATCTCCTCACCTTGTGATAAACATATCATTACTCTTTTATGATTGTGATTAGAGGTGGCCTTTTAATTCATTACCTATTAACCTATTCAATCTATCCACAAATAAATGGCTTAAGTACCTATATTAATTAATACGAGTTTTACATGGGTTGGGTAATAATATTTATTTTAATTAGGCGGATTAAAATAAATTACAAATGAGTACCCATTAAATTGAGTATTAATCTTTTCTATAAAATAACAAGTAATAAAATTAAATACACACTAAAATACCAAAAAATACACACACCCACACATTAAAACACCAAAAAATACATACATATACTAACACACCAAAACACGCACACACATACATACTTGTACATTAATATACTAAAAAATTTATATAATTTATATAATAAAGTATAATATAATTCAACTTTTAAAAGATAAACAAAATGATTTATTATTCGTGATTGAGATTTTTTTAAATATTATGTTAAAATTAATCTNGAAAGAGAAAAAGGTTCATGCTCTTTTCACTTGAATTCTTATTTGGTCATGCAAATGAAATAACACTTAATCAGGGGGTGTGTGTGCTTTTGGTGGGGGGGAGGGAAATAAAAGCATTTTTTGCCTAACTTGTATTCTTTGCAGCTGAAAGGTTTCGAATTTATCAAAGCTGTTCACCTAGATCCAGTGCTATTTGACATGGATCGTGACCTTCTCACTCCAACTTTTAAGAAGAAAAGGCCCCAATTGCTCAAATATTACCAGGTAGGTCCCCTGGTCCTCTATAATGAAAGACACGTTTTTCTACCATGAGCATGAATGGCACGGTATTAACCTGCAAAACAATTTCAAACCACAAACAGTGACATGGTACATATTTATTATAGAGTGGTAGTCTACGTGCATCCTATCATACTGTCTGTGTAATTGAGATGCATCATCCGGTGTGGTCCATTGGAGATTTCATGGTGGCCCCTTTTCCTATTAGAGTGGCAAATTTTGGCTCCATACCATTGCCCTGACCCGGTATGAATCCCAAAATATCAAAACAAATTATTACCAATGGCTTAATTTTGACAAATCTGTTTAATTCGCATTGTAAGAAGAAAATGTGTGTTTTTTTTGGTCATTTCTTGATCTCGTTAATACCACCCAGTTCTGATAAAAAAAATAATAGTACCTACTTTAGTCCCCATTAATGGGTGTTTGGGAGGTGTAGATTGACTAAAAATCTTACCTTTAGTATTATTTGAACAAATTAGTTGCTCTCATATTCAAACCCACAATCTTGAGGTTGTGGTGTCGAGTTTTAACAATTGAACCAGTGTTTTATTAGTTGTTGTAAAAGTATTTGATGTGACACAATTTGATTGACACTTCTAATTTCAACATACTCTTATAGTATCTTATTAATATTTTGTTGTCTTCGTTATATTACACCTCCCAATTGGTCAATTCATAGAATCTCCGTGAAACTTTAATTGCCAATTTGTGTTTGGGATAGTTGTTGATGGCTACGATTCTTATTTTAAGTCTACATGAAGACTCTTATTCTTACTAGATAGTTTATCAAAAATTTCTTATCAAATCAATATAAATTGTTAGATTAGTCGATTTAATTAACTTTTTTTAGTGTACCTAGAATCCCTTTTTTCACGAGTTTGTTGTTTGATTGCTATCTGAGTAGCCAGCAGGTAGCTTTGCTACGACACTATCTGAGGCTCCAAAAGCTAGTTAGTTTAGTCTATGAGTCTCCTATTAGTTTCTTCTGTCTCTATCAGTTATCATACGCAAACTCTAGTTGTATAAAGACAACAATAGTACTTAAGATCTTTCCTTTGCGCAGCACATTGAACTTCCCAGCTTCACTCGATGGACCGTACTAAAGAAGCTTGTCTTAGTTAATTCCTTTGAACTCTTTTCGCCTATTCTGTTTTTAATATCTCCTCACCTTGTGATAAACATATCATTACTCTTTTATGATTGTGATTAGAGGTGGCCTTTTAATTCATTACCTATTAACCTATTCAATCTATCCACAAATAAATGGCTTAAGTACCTATATTAATTAATACGAGTTTTACATGGGTTGGGTAATAATATTTATTTTAATTAGGCGGATTAAAATAAATTACAAATGAGTACCCATTAAATTGAGTATTAATCTTTTCTATAAAATAACAAGTAATAAAATTAAATACACACTAAAATACCAAAAAATACACACACCCACACATTAAAACACCAAAAAATACATACATATACTAACACACCAAAACACGCACACACATACATACTTGTACATTAATATACTAAAAAATTTATATAATTTATATAATAAAGTATAATATAATTCAACTTTTAAAAGATAAACAAAATGATTTATTATTCGTGATTGAGATTTTTTTAAATATTATGTTAAAATTAATCTGATGACTAATATTAACACATCAAATTTAATAAAAAAATGGGTCTCTAAGAGTGTGTTTAGGGTGATTTTTTAAAAATAATTTTAGAATTTATAACATTTTATAAGTATTTAAAAAAAAGAAGTAGCGTTTGAAATCGTCTTACCACTATCACTACACCCACTATCACCACTGTCACTATCATCGTCAACTTATCACCACAACTACTCCCATTACCACTACCACCAACCCCACTGCCTTACCACCACCACTACCACTCTTGCCACCCTACCACCACCCTCACTTCACCACTACTACAATCGTTGTCGCTACCCTACCACCATTATCCCTACCTTTACTCCCACAACCATCACCACTACCACCACCACAATCATCACCACCGTCGCCACTCTGCCACCACCACTGACCCAATTCCACCTTCACCCCCTCCACCCTTCCTCCACCACAATCATCACCCACCACTGATTGTTATCACTGTTATTCATCGTCACCATCCACTATTATCGTTATTTTATTCTTATATTTATTATTACTATTACCATCATCCCACTACTATCGTTGCCCCCGTCAACACCCACCACCACCACCCCCCATTGCCATCAATTACCACAACCCATCACCACTCGTCATTGCCCACCATCGTCCTTACCAACTGCTACCCATCCTCACTACACCTACCACTACCAACTACTACCACTTGTCATCGCTTACCACTACCGTCACCCACTATCACCCACCCCCACCACACTTACCACCACCATCATCAATACCGTCATTCACCATCACCCATCACATTGTCATCAAGAAATATCTGTCGTCACCTACTACTATTTTCGTTATCGCCCCCCATTGCCACCACCATCATCGTTGCCATACCACCACCACAATCATCGTCGTCCACCACCACCTCTGATATCACCATAGTTGTCACTACCATCATCGTCATAAAAAACTCACCATCACCGTCATCGTTATCACCCACGAATGCCACCAGCACCGCTGTCGCCCACCGCTAATCATCACTATCACCGCTCACCCTCACTACAATTGGTGTTTAAATTATNATTTGAACAAATTAGTTGCTCTCATATTCAAACCCACAATCTTGAGGTTGTGGTGTCGAGTTTTAACAATTGAACCAGTGTTTTATTAGTTGTTGTAAAAGTATTTGATGTGACACAATTTGATTGACACTTCTAATTTCAACATACTCTTATANCATATTCAAACCCACAATCTTGAGGTTGTGGTGTCGAGTTTTAACAATTGAACCAGCGTTTTATTAGTTGTTGTAAAAGTATTTGATGTGACACAATTTGATTGACACTTCTAATTTCAACATACTCTTAAANATTATTTCGTACCTTCAAGCACAGGTAATAACTAGTACACGTATACATTAATACATAAAAATATACACACATTAATAAACTAAAAACACGCACATTAATACATTAAAAACACACACAACTACACAAAAATTAACACACAGATACACACTAGTACACTAAAATACAAAAACACACACTAGTACACTGAAACANTAGTATCTTATTAATATTTTGTTGTCTTCGTTATATTACACCTCCCAATTGGTCAATTCATAGAATCTCCGTGAAACTTTAATTGCCAATTTGTGTTTGGGATAATTGTTGATGGCTACGATTCTTATTTTAAGTCTACATGAAGACTCTTATTCTTACTAGATAGTTTATCAAAAATTTCTTATCAAATCAATATAAATTGTTAGATTAGTCGATTTAATTAACTTTTTTTAGTGTACCTAGAATCCCTTTTTTCACGAGTTTGTTGTTTGATTGCTATCTGAGTAGCCAGCAGGTAGCTTTGCTACGACACTATCTGAGGCTCCAAAAGCTAGTTAGTTTAGTCTATGAGTCTCCTATTAGTTTCTTCTGTCTCTATCAGTTATCATACGCAAACTCTAGTTGTATAAAGACAACAATAGTACTTAAGATCTTTCCTTTGCGCAGCACATTGAACTTCCCAGCTTCACTCGATGGACCGTACTAAAGAAGCTTGTCTTAGTTAATTCCTTTGAACTCTTTTCGCCTATTCTGTTTTTAATATCTCCTCACCTTGTGATAAACATATCATTACTCTTTTATGATTGTGATTAGAGGTGGCCTTTTAATTCATTACCTATTAACCTATTCAATCTATCCACAAATAAATGGCTTAAGTACCTATATTAATTAATACGAGTTTTACATGGGTTGGGTAATAATATTTATTTTAATTAAGCAGATTAAAATAAATTACAAATGAGTACCCATTAAATTGAGTATTAATCTTTTCTATAAAATAACAAGTAATAAAATTAAATACACACTAAAATACCAAAAAATACACACACCCACACATTAAAACACCAAAAAATACATACATATACTAACACACCAAAACACGCACACACATACATACTTGTACATTAATATACTAAAAAATTTATATAATTTATATAATAAAGTATAATATAATTCAACTTTTAAAAGATAAACAAAATGATTTATTATTCGTGATTGAGATTTTTTTAAATATTATGTTAAAATTAATCTGATGACTAATATTAACACATCAAATTTAATAAAAAAATGGGTCTCTAAGAGTGTGTTTAGGGTGATTTTTTAAAAATAATTTTAGAATTTATAACATTTTATAAGTATTTAAAAAAAAGAAGTAGCGTTTGAAATCGTCTTACCACTATCACTACACCCACTATCACCACTGTCACTATCATCGTCAACTTATCACCACAACTACTCCCATTACCACTACCACCAACCCCACTGCCTTACCACCACCACTACCACTCTTGCCACCCTACCACCACCCTCACTTCACCACTACTACAATCGTTGTCGCTACCCTACCACCATTATCCCTACCTTTACTCCCACAACCATCACCACTACCACCACCACAATCATCACCACCGTCGCCACTCTGCCACCACCACTGACCCAATTCCACCTTCACCCCCTCCACCCTTCCTCCACCACAATCATCACCCACCACTGATTGTTATCACTGTTATTCATCGTCACCATCCACTATTATCGTTATTTTATTCTTATATTTATTATTACTATTACCATCATCCCACTACTATCGTTGCCCCCGTCAACACCCACCACCACCACCCCCCATTGCCATCAATTACCACAACCCATCACCACTCGTCATTGCCCACCATCGTCCTTACCAACTGCTACCCATCCTCACTACACCTACCACTACCAACTACTACCACTTGTCATCGCTTACCACTACCGTCACCCACTATCACCCACCCCCACCACACTTACCACCACCATCATCAATACCGTCATTCACCATCACCCATCACATTGTCATCAAGAAATATCTGTCGTCACCTACTACTATTTTCGTTATCGCCCCCCATTGCCACCACCATCATCGTTGCCATACCACCACCACAATCATCGTCGTCCACCACCACCTCTGATATCACCATAGTTGTCACTACCATCATCGTCATAAAAAACTCACCATCACCGTCATCGTTATCACCCACGAATGCCACCAGCACCGCTGTCGCCCACCGCTAATCA